CCCTAATAATTCTTTACCAGGAGGAGGTAGTCGGGAGGGGTCACCTGCCCTGCCTAATATTTCAATAATGATAATAAGATAGACATCTAAAACTCCTTTCCTTCTCCTGTGGGTACCAAGTGCAGCTGCTGTTAATTTACATAACGAGCGAAAAATAGCTGTTTTCTTGGATATCCAGGACGTTGTCTGAGATCAACATAGCTCGGATAATTAGTGCACTTTCTCTAGTAGAGGTGTAGTGTTGAGAGGAAAACCCCTACTAGTAGGAATAAACTCACAGGGAGCAAGTACAGCAGGGATCTACCAGTCGTCAGTAGAAATTATCCTCATCGACACGCGTTTCGGCTCACTATTCCTAGACGCATTCGGAGGTGGGCCCTCCTGAGTTCATGAAGCTCAGGGCTGGTTCCCCGCTGTACGGAATTACCGGATGGTGTTTTACTTTCGGCCAGAGACAAGACGACTTGGTGGTTTCGAAGGAGGTACTGTGAGATAAGAAGCCGCCGCGGCAGCCTAATTAAAGCAGTCAGCATGCCTGGACGACCGAGCGACAAGCTTACTTTGGTTTACCGGACACATGTTGGACTTTTATTAGCAGTTGGCAGAGGAACACTGGCAGACAATTCGGACACGATGGACTTTCAAAGGGGTGAGAAACCCTTTTCCACTAGACACCCGGACCAGCTGCGTCCAAAGCCAGCTAGAGGCCCTTTCGGCTGCCTCTCCCAGTTTTTTGAGTGTTCGTTTCCGTTCATTACCGCGCAATCCTAAATCTTTCACCACATTGTAGAGCGAAGTGGAAACGAGGCCTCTCGCTCCCACTTCGACGGCAAATACCCGTACTGTGTAAGCCTCGTTTCTCCTTAGACCGGCTGCTAAATCATTGTACTTCTCGAGCTTGTACAAATGATTCTCCTCCATACGCGACTCAAACGGGACAGTCAACTCAATCAGAATGAGCTGCCGCTTTTGCGCAGAATGGAGAACGATGTCCGGTCGCAGGCCGGTTTTACGGATCAACTCGGGGTACCGTTCATGGCCTGGCAGATCAACCGCCAGTAACCAGTCCCTCGCAGAGTCTAGCACAGATGGAGCGAATGCGTTTTTGTTGACCTTACCTTTTGGAACCTGCCCAGCCTTGAGGAAACGAATGGGGACGATGCTAGAACTGGCTCTGGCGTTAGCCCTCATTCTAGCCTGGTCGACAACGGCTGCTAACTCTTTTAGCACCTTGTTGTGTCGCCATGTGTATCGGCCTTGACCTAGGGCTTTCCTGCCGGCGGACAGGACGTGCTAAAGAGTTTGCTTCGATTTACACAACGGGCAAGTCGGATCGTTGGTCGCAGACCATTTAACCATGTTAACACCGGACGGTAATACATCGTACGCCGAACGAACGATAAAGCTCAGTCGCAGCGGGGTCATCCGCCAGATCTCACCCCATGTGAGTATTCTTGGCAATGCGCTCTCCAGGCTGACCCAATGGCCCTGCTGCGACTGCTGGGCTGCTTTCTGGACCCGAACCTCGTTTTCGTTGTCCCTCACCGTTTGTCTCGGCGTTCTTTGGCTGAGGCCTTTGACCACCAATTGACTTTCCCGTGCCCCAGGCCTCGACGGTCGGTTTGTGTGTATCCCATTATCTCCTTCAATTTTAGTGCGTTATGAGCAGATTCTATCGCATCGAGGACTCTCCACTTGGTTCCAGTCTTTAGAGCGGGCTGGACAGCGGTGACATTTGGGTCTGAAGACTCGCGCAAAAGCATGGCGAGCTTTACCTTGCCGACTTTAAACTCTTCGGTTATTGATTTGAACGGAAGTACCAGCTTAGCCTGCTTACAATACAGGATCGATAACAACAAGCTTACAATACAGAGCCACGTCGGTCAGACAAGGCGGTGCACCAATCCACTTTCTTAAGGCTGTGTTGATTTTCTTTTCCATGGTTTCCACTGCAGTCATCGTCCCCTCGTAGACTAGCAGTGGCCATAGGAGCTTTGGAATCAACATGAATTGGAGACACCATACCTTGAATTTTCCGATCAGCCTGCATCGCTCGATCGCGAGCAGGCCTGTAGCCAGTGACTCATGTATTCGCCGGACCTCCGCTCTATTAGATAACTTCGAATCGTAAACGCGACCGAGACTCTTCACCGGTTCCTCCAGAACCGTAGGGATCTTGACCATGCAACCCTGTGAAGCTTTTCCCACATGTACAGAGCCAGCCCGGACGTTGGGCGAGTATCTCAGTCCGGGGGCTAGCAAGGTCGTCACCGAAGGCATCAATTGGATTGGGCCCTTCATTCCCCCCCCCCCCTTTTCGGAGGGCCCTGGGGGCATATTTCTTTGTGGTTGTTCGAAATCGGAGGTATTATACTGTGTTAGGGTTGACAAAATCATCTATTCACTTCGGGGTCGCGACACTTACAAGAGATTATCTGCCACCTTGGATGTAATAAATAATCCATATTGAATTTTCAATTTAGTATTAAACAAGGTGTATATGATATTATGTTTGCGCGCTCGCATGTGTGTGTGTATACGTCTGCGTGTGTCTATGTGTGTGTGTCCGCGTGTGTCTTTGTGTATATGTCTGAATGTGTGTGCGCGGATGTCCACGTGTATGTGTAAACATGAATTTGTCAGTGTATGTGTCTGTGTATGTGTGTTTCTGTGTGTTCAAGTGTGCGGCTTTGTTGTGAATGTGTGTCTGCGTGCGTGTGTGTGTGTGCGTCTGTGTGTGTGACTGTGTATGTGACTGTGTATATATGTCTGTGTCTGCGTGTGTGTCTCTGTGTTTGTCTGCATGTGTTGGTGTCACTGTGTTTGTCTGAATGTTTGATATGACTGTGTGTGTGTCTGCGTGTGTGTCTATATGTGTCCCCGTATTTGTTTGCCTGCATGTTTGCCTGTGTCTGTTTGTGTGTGTTTGTCTGCGTGTGTGTCTATGTGGATGTGTGTATGTGTCTCTGTGTGTGGGTGTCTGTATGTTTGTCTGCGTTAGTGTATGTGTCTGCGTGTATCTGTCTGTGTGTGCGTGTCTATGTGTGTGTATTGTGTGCGCGTGTGTCTAGTGTATGTGTCGGTGTGTATTTGTCAATGGGTGTCTGTGTTTGTGTGCCTCTCTGTGTGTTTATTGTGCCTCTTTATTTTGTGTATGTGTCTGCATATCGGTGTATATGTCTGTGTGTGAGGCTGTCTATATGTGTCTGCGTATGTTTGTCTGCCTGTGTTTGTCTGCGTATGTCTTTCTGTGTGTTTGTCTGTATGTGTTTGTCTGCACGTTTGTTTGTATTTTGTGTGTGTTTGACTGCGTGTCTGTCTATGTGGCTGTTTGAATGTGTCTGCTATGTATGCGTGTGTGTCAGTGTGTATGTCAGTGTGTGAGCATGCATGAATATATGCCTGCTGTGCATCTTCCTGTGTGTCTGTGTGTGTTTTTATATGTATGTGTCTGTGTGTGTGTGTCTGTGTGTTTGTATGCGTGAGTGTGTGTGTCTCTGTATGTGTGTCAGTGTGTGAGTCTGCGTGTGTGTCTGTGGGCGGGTCTGTTTGTGAGTCTGCATATGCGTGTGTGAGCATGTCTTTGTATGCATGTGTGTGTCTCAATGCGTGCCTGTATATATGTAATGATGTATGTATGCATGCATGCATGCATATGTGTGTAAGTGAGTGGGTGGGTGTGTGCGTGTGTGTGCGCGCGCGGGTTTTTGCATGCATTTTACAATTCATGCTTTTGTGTTCATTTATGATATTCATAATATGCATATCATCACATGATCATAACATGCTTTATTAGTAAAATACAACTTCTGTGCGAAAGAGGGGTGACTGGAAAGGCCGAAAGTAAGACGGGCCTGCGTGCCCTATTTTTGACCCTTTAAAAATAAAGTTCTATCTATCTATCTATCTATCTATCTATCTATCTATCTATCTATCTATCTATCTATCTACCTACCTACCTACCTACCTACCTACCTACCTACCTACCTACCTACCTACCTACCTACCTACCTACCTACCTATCTATCTATCTATCTATCTATCTATCTATCTATCTATCTATCTATCTATCTATCTATCTATCTATCTATCTATCTATCTATCTATCTATCTATCTATCTATCTATCTATCTATCTATCTATCCATCCATCCATCCATTCGTCCGACCGTCCGTCCGTCGGTGGGTGGTGGGTGGATCGGTCAGTCGGTCGGTCGGTCGGTCGGTCGGTCAGTCGGTCGGTGGGTGGGTGGGTTTGGGTGGGTGGGTGGGTCGGTCTATATATATATATATATATATATATATATATATATATATATATATATACTATATATATATATATATATATATATATATATATATATATATATATATATATCTTTTCTAACCTTCACACTTTCTCTTCATATCACAAAGCACACACTCATGCGCGCTCACGCAAACATAAAACTGTTTTATGTTTGGTAATTATTTCAGTTCCAAACAACGCATGATGTATAATGGACTTTTCACTATGAAACCTTGATTTGATTTGATTTGATTCGAGAACCGACTTTACAGCACTTGGGGCATTCCCATAAGCGCTCCCTCCCCATCTTCACCAGCCAGCGAAGAGTTCCGATACTAATGATGCCAGTAGCATTCTGATTAAACGTTCGTCTTGCCTTTCCTCTGAGTCTTAAGCATCTGCCAAAACCTCAGGTCACTCTCCCCTGCATCAATCTCACCAGACTGTGGTGATCCATCTGCTCCGCGGAACTGTGATCTTCGCCGGTGCTACAGAGCCTATGCACCGTGCTGAGCTTCTATAGACTCAGACTTGAGTTAGAAGAAGAATAGAGCACTTATGGGTTACTGCTCGTGTGCTATGCTGTTGATCCGTTGTTCAAACTTCATACTTCAAAGCAGAATGAAGAGGAGAAGGCGGAGAAGGAAGAGCAGGAGGAGGTGGAGGACGAGAACAAGAAGAAGTCTTTTATAATTATATTTGATGCTTCTTACCATCTTAATTTGATGTTCGTTTGTGTCTTAAATCTGCTGTTTGTTTTTGTTTTTTAAAAAAATGTGTTGTTTAGCCCATTGTTTTAATTTAAAAAAAAAAATAATAAAAGAAACAGGTAACTTAGCAATTTGCGTGGATAGCAAAAACGTCATGAAGCTAAAAACTCTCAAGGATTTCAGAAACGAAATAATTACATTTTCTGATGAGAATAGCTGGGTGCAGTTAAGGTTTTGTGGCTGGTATAAAGGAAGTCGCGGATGGCTCAGTCGGAGGACACGATCAGACAGGTTTGCATTCTGGAGAATATTCGGCGACGAAAGGAGTGAGTGGGTCAGAGTGCCAATGGAACATTCTGGCTTGTATAGAGCCATAATCACACTGGTCCGGGAGTGCATGAAGTGGCCAGCAGGTGCCACTGAGGTAGAAATGCAGCAATTCATCATCATGAAGTAAGTCATTTGCAGAACGTCGCTCTCATCACGGTCTTACTGATAGAAACTCGTTCTCTACCAGCTCTCTCGTCCTATGTACTTTTATACTCGAGGAGTCACTTATATCATTTGCCCATCTTTGTGTTGGTCGGCCCCTGCCCCTTCTTCCTGGCACCGTGCCTTCTGCTTCCGAGACAGGATACTGTTTATTAACCAATCTTCCTTGATGTTCAGATCTTTAGAGATGTAAGTATTTCTCCTCTTCTTTGTCCAAGATATTGTGAGTCTACGCCTCACATCCGTATGTTGCTACAGGGAAGATGCATGCTCTCAAAATTCCAGTTTTGATCTCCGTGCTGGTGCTTAACCATAGACTTCTAAGGCTGTTTAATCTTTGCATTGCTATGACCATTGTTCTTTTAATTTCCTTCACACAGCCTCCATTGCTATTTATTATAATTATAGATGCAGCAATTATTTCAGGACAACCATGGCCTTCCCCGATTAGCCTTGGAATAATGCTCGTAATGTGATTTTTTCTGCACATGTTTCAGTGTCAAAAAGCAAAAGAAAAGTGTCTTTTTTTATTATTTTTTTTAAAGCAAAAGCTAATGGCCAACGTTTGGTGCAAGAAAGCGTAGCATCCAGCTGAAGAAGGAAGATTGAAGCAGTCACTACAGCTTTCCTCTGGCTAAAGAGCTCCACACACACGCGCGCGCGCGCACACACACACACACACACACTCTCTCTCTCTCTCTCTCTCACATGCACACACTCACTCATAAACACACACATCGTTGTTGTAAGTGACTCAGAGAGCATGTTGAGGAAGGTGAGGACAGGCATGCTTCGTGAAGAGTGGCATGCTTCGCTTCAGACGTCAGGGGAGGAGCATTTTCTGGATCTTTTCCTCGGTGCATATAATGAACAAAGAGCATGAAGTTGACCACCCAGAATATAGAATGACAGTATCAAGAACACCTTTAGAGAAATAACGATCCATTTATAAAAACATTACAAAGATGATTCAGAATATCCTTTATAATCAAAAGAATAGAAAGAGAAGCAGAAGAAGAAGAAGAAGAAGAAGAAGAAGAAGAAGAAGAAGAAGAAGAAGAAGAAGAAGAAGAAGAAGAAGAAGAAGAAGAAGAAGAAGAAGAAGAAGAGAAAAAGAAGAAGAAGAAGAAGAAGAAGAAGAAGAAGAAGAAGAAGAAGAAGAAGAAGAAGAAGAAGAAGAAGAAGCTGTCTATGATTCACTTTGATTTTATGTTATGTTTTCAAAATATACGTCCCTGCACATGTGTCATTCCGATGTGTGCTTAGGCCTCCGATGCAGCAGCCACTCTAAGGTACCTCAACTTATGGTTCCCATGAAAAGATTGTTGTGTCTCCTGTCTTGATCTTGAAGACGACGTAGACGTGCTTCACCAAACTTTACTCCCATGTCTAGCAGTCGTGTTAGCGTCAGCGATTCACCGTTATCCCCCTCCCCAACCTAGTCCGTACAGCGTTGACGATTTTATTTTAGCTGTGTCCATGCTTCTTCCCGTTAGCATTATTACTCTCTCTCTCTCTCTCTCTCTCTCTCTCTCTCTCTCTCTCTCCCTCTCCCTCTCTCCATCTCTTGTTGTACCTCACCAGGGCATCACACACAAAATAAACGCCTGGTGACACAAAGTGCCATCATGCGGATGATGATCACCCGTGGAGAGGTTCCAGAAACCCCTTTCAGCCGTTAGGCCATTATTTATGGCCCGGCTATATTCAGGACCCCCCGGCAAAAGCCAGAGTGGAGCTTCAAATAACGAAAAATTGCATCCCACAAGGGTATGACTAACTTAGTAACTAGATAGTTAGCATTGGTACATTCATTACCTGCTTCGCATAAATACACAAAGTCTGACACGGCGTTTGGACTAAACTTTCTGGGGTGTTAAAAACTAGAACTTCCTGTTCGTTTGCACCGTCTGTGTTGTATTGGTGGTGGCTGAACTTCAGAGATTACTAGCAGCATCGCATTTTCAAGACGGAGAGGTAAAAGGTTGTCAAAACTCACGATTAAGGACTCGTAGATTGTTTCCAGTATATTATTTAATCGAAACAGGAGTCTCAATATTACCTTGCAAAGGGTAAACGTAAGGACTGACATCTGCAGCTGAACTAGCCAACAGAGCGCTGCTTAAAAAGTAAAAAGTTGTTTGGGCCCCACATTAGACTTAGTTTCCTTAGTTTAAATAGGGATTTTACTTATCTTATCTAAATGACAAAGTAAAATTGAGGCCCTGTACGGAAAACTGACAGTGACAGACCAAAGTTGTAGGTCTTACTCCTAGTTCATGAAAACAAAATCAGGTTCTCCTTGCAATAACGGTCGCTACTTGGACGGCGACGGCCGCTTAGTCGGAGTTCAGTCCCCTGGTTGCAGTTGATAAAAGAAGTAAAGAGAGAAGTAAAATATCTGTTCAGTTTATATATATTTTACAATCACAGTTCACATGAGTGTGCAGCTGGGTTTGAAACCAGCGGAAGGTTGCAGTGACTCCACCCCTATACTATTATGATAATGATATACTATAAGAATAATGATCAAAACTAGATTTTGTTTTTAGTTTTATCATATTCCAGGTTTTGGAATAAAGGTTATCCATTCACTTTTTAGATCCATATTTTTATAGCCCAACAGGTGCTAGGTGGGTAATGCCAGTCTCCTTTACTAATATTTCCTGGTACCAGTTTTTGCTTGGATCAACCTGAGAGCCTAGGATATTTATTAAAACTGTCCATCCCTAAATCTTCTTCTTCTTTACTTTCATCATCTGTAAATTCTGGTGGAAAGTTCTTGTTTTTCATCCACTGTTGGACTTTAATTTTATTCCAGAACCCTAGTTTTGCCAGCACATCCATTGTACAGATCTTTCTTATTTGTATTCAAACTATTGGTTCTTTGCCTCTCAGGCAGACGCACTCCAACTACGAAGGAAACATCCTTAATTAGTTGACTCTTACAACATGCTTGTTAGCAGTGGGTCTATTCTTGTTTTTCTCCCCCGGATGTGGCCCTGGAACCCACACGGGGAGGCTGTATGTATTTAAATGCAAACAAATTGTGTTTGCAGGAGTTTAGCGACTGCATCTCTCATATCAGCCTCTGCATCTGATATCAGCAGGTATTGTGTATTAATGAATTGTTTTCTTGCTTCCTGATCTTGAACCAGCTCTAACTGGTTATCAGATGCCACTGGCATGATGTCACGAACACCTCAGCCAGTGCTGGTGCGCAAGGCAAAGAAAAGACTTGCCACGGCAGTGCTCGCTGGCCAGGAGGACAGCTACAAGAATATCAGCTGTGATTATATCTGGTAAGTATTCCGTTCAAGATGGTGAGGCAAGGGGCTGTTTATTTTTTTTTAGCCAGCGCTTAACCAGGGTCAGTTTTTGACATCCTAGATCAAAAGTTATGTAAACTAGTCTGAATGTGATAGTCTAGTTCAAATGTGATCTTCTAGGAAGTTTAAAAACACTGTGACTGGTACAGCAAACCTGCATTAGCTTACTTAGTCTCGTAGAGAATGAAGAGATCTAGAACCCGTACCTGAGATCTCTTCCTGCCCTGACGCCACAAGGCATTCCAGGAGCAGAAAAAAGAAGAAGAAGACAAAGTATTGATTATACAGTAGGGAAAACACATATTATTTTTAGCTCTGCAATGTTGGTCAGAAAAACACCAACATCCTGTTTGATCTGAACAGCAAGGAGAATTGGCAGCTCTCCTGTCAACTTAGGCCGTTAGCTGGACTGCCGCCTATCACTTAGTGGGAGTTGTCTCCCTTGGCTGCATTGCGAACACGGAGTGGAAAAGTCACGAATCAAATGACATACTTACCTATCATCATACGGTTGCGTGTACGGTTGCGTAGTCTACGGTTACGGTTACATATCATCATACGGTTGCGTGTACGGTTGCGTAGTCATCATACTGTTACGGTTACCTATCATCATACGGTTGCGTGTACGGTTGCGTAGTCATCATACGGTCATCATAGGGTTTGTGTTAGGGTTAGGGATAGGGTTAGCGGCGTTAGGGGTTGGGTTAGGGTTAGTGTTAGGGGTAGGGTTAGATGTGACAATTTTGACGTAGGAGTTCCAAATACTGGCCGACAATCTGATGCTTGTGGGAGTGGCGCCACAGAAATTCTCCCAAATATGATGGCAATAGCGCGCGGCTAGTGCCTCATCGGTGGCGAATTGTCCACAGTCCTTCGATTGTTTGGGTGTGTATGTGACTGTGCGCGATTATTTGGAACTCCTGCGTCAAAATTGTCACATCTAACCCTAACCCTTACCCTAACCCTACCGCTACCCCTAACCCTACCTCTAACCACGCAAATTTATCGGCTGTCATTAAGTCATACAGATCTGCAGGAGTCACATCCGTGGCAACTAATACCACTTTTATATAAGGATATATTTACTTTAAAAAAAAACCCAGATTTCCCCGAAGCGCCAAATAAACAGCCAGATCTGGGGCACACACCCAAGCATTGGCAGCCCTGTTGTCGACCTCACTGCCTTTTTTGATTCGTGACTTTTCCGCTCCGTGTTCGCAATGCAGCCAAGGGAGAGGACTCCCACTACGCGATCGGCGGCTTTCCAGCTAACGGCCTAAGTTGACAGGAGAGCCGAATTGGCTCATAAACAGCATCATGACCTGACAGCTGAGGTATCTTGGCCATGTTAAACACATGGTGGCCTGGGAAGAACAGTGTTGAAGGGTATAGTTTCAGGAAAACGTCACAGAAGCAGACCTCACCAAATGTGGATCCAAGACACTGAAGCTGGGTTGATCCCTAATATGTAATGTAATTATGTTGTGTGGGTCAGCGTACCCTTACATATGTAGTAGAACCATCTGAAATCTTCTGCAAGCAGTCTTTGTAAATAAATATGTTGATTTTATTGTTTCTTCCTCAGCCCAATATGTTTTGATATTATAGATGAAGCGTACATGACCAAGTGTGGGCATTCTTTCTGGTAAGTTGTATGACTCTTATAGTATGTGGGCCTTTCTGTTGTGTGTCCTAAGCACATACTCTCTGGTGAATTAATGATGGGTAGAAGATGTTGAGGCCGACCTCTAGTACAATATAAAGATGTATGCAAGGGGGACATGAATGATACAGGTCTTGAGGTGGACTCGTGGGAACAAAATGCAATGGACCGTGTTGTGTGGAGGGGTCACATCGGGAAGGGAATGAGAATGAAGGAAGAAGTGACTGCAGAAAGGATGAGAGCTGAGCGTCTGAGAAGAAACACACTAAACACAAATGTAGACAACAGTGGTCCTGAAATCCCATGCTATAATTGTGGAAGACTTTTCTTAACGCATGTGGGTCTTGCTGGTCACACTCGCCATCCCCATGGGCTGTGAGTCTCATGCCTCCTCATAGCACAATATAACACTGTTATCTGGAAAGACGGAAAGGTGTCAGATCATTCTGTTGTGTGGTATCAATACATAAGCTGATCCTTCCAGTGTGTGAGATCCTTCCATTGTGTGGTATCAGTACATCAACTGATCCTTCCATTGAGTGAGATCCTTCCATTGTGTGGTATCAGTACATAAGCTGATCCTTCCAGTGTGTGAGATCCTTCTATTGTGTGGTATCAGTACATAAGCTGATCCTTCCAGTGTGTGAAATCCTTCCATTGTGTGGTATCAGTACATCAACTGATCCTTCCAGTGTGTGAGATCCTTGCATTGTGTGGTATCAGTACATAAGCTGATCCTTCCAGTGTGTGAGATCCTTCTATTGTGTGGTATCAGTACATAAGCTGATCCTTCCAGTGTGTGAGATCCTTCCATTGTGTGGTATCAGTACATCAACTGATCCTTCCAGTGTGTGAGATCCTTGCATTGTGTGGTATCAGTACATCAACTGATCCTTCCAGTGTGTGAGATCCTTGCATTGTGTGGTATCAGTACATAAGCTGATCCTTCCAGTGTGTAAGATCCTTCTATTGTGTGGTATCAGTACATAAGCTGATCCTTCCAGTGTGTGAGATCCTTCTATTGTTTGGTATCAGTACATAAGCTGATCCTTCCAGTGTGTGAGATCCTTCCATTGTGTGGTATCAGTACATAAGCTGATCCTTTCAGTGTGTGAGATCCTTGCATTGTGTGGTATCAGTACATAAGCTGATCCTTACAGTGTGTGAGATCCTTCCAGTGTGTGGTATCAGTACATAAGCTGATCCTTCCAGTGTGTGAGATCCTTCCATTGTGTGGTATCAGTACATCAACTGATCCTTCCAGTGTGTGAGATCCTTGCATTGTGTGGTATCAGTACATAAGCTGATCCTTCCAGTGTGTGAGATCCTTCCATTGTGTGGTATCAGTACATCAACTGATCCTTCCAGTGTGTGAGATCCTTGCATTGTGTGGTATCAGTACATAAGCTGATCCTTCCAGTGTGTGAGATCCTTCTATTGTGTGGTATCAGTACATAAGCTGATCCTTCCAGTGTGTAAGATCCTTCTATTGTGTGGTATCAATACATAAGCTGATCCTTCCAGTGTGTAAGATCCTTCTATTGTGTGGTATCAGTACATAAGCTGATCCTTTCAGTTTGTGATATCCTTCCATTGTGTGGTATCAGTACATAAGCTGATCCTTCCAGTGTGTGAGATCCTTCCAGTGTGTGGTATCAGTACATCAACTGATCCTTCTAGTGTGTGAGATCCTTCCAGTGTGTGAGATCCTTCTATTGTGTGGTATCAGTACATAAGCTGATCCTTCCAGTGTGTGAGATCCTTCCATTGTGTGGTATCAGTACATCAACTGATCCTTCTAGTGTGTGAGATCCTTCCAGTGTGTGAGATCCTTCCATTGTGTGGTATCAGTACATAAGCTGATCCTTCCAGTGTGTGAGATCCTTCCATTGTGTGAGATCCTTCCAGTGTGCTAGATCCTTCCATTGTGTGGTATCAGTACATAAGCTGATCCTTCCAGTGTGTGAGATCCTTCCATTGTGTGAGATCCTTCCAGTGGGATAGATCCTTCCATTGTGTGGTATCAGTACATAAGCTGATCCTTCCAGTGTGTGAGATCCTTCCATTGTGTGAGATCCTTCCAGTGTGATAGATCCTTCCATTGTGTGGTATCAGTACATCAACTGATCCTTCTAGTGTGTGAGATCCTTCCAGTGTGTGAGATCCTTGCATTGTGTGGTATCAGTACATAAGCTGATCCTTCCAGTGTGTGAGATCCTTCCATTGTGTGGTATCAGTACATAAGCTGATCTTTCCAGTGTGTGGGATCCTTCCATTGTGTGGTATCAGTACATCAACTGATCCTTCCAGTGTGTGAGATCCTTGCATTGTGTGGTATCAGTACATCAACTGATCCTTCCAGTGTGTGAGATCCTTCCAGTGTGTAAGATCCTTCTATTGTGTGGTATCAGTACATAAGCTGATCCTTCCAGTATGTGAGATCCTTCCATTGTGTGAGATCCTTCCATTGTGTGGTCTAGGTAAGTCAGCTAGCTTTTAAGAGTATGAAAAGTGTGCAAAAGCTTTTGTGCAGTTCACAGACAAAACAGCACTACTGTTGCGATCTAATCATGTTACCTCGAGAAGATGTACAACCAGCACTTCAGGTTGGGTCAAATTCCCCTTAAATGACGCTTTTCTGACTTATTCAGAGTGACTTGTTTATTAGACACCTAGTTCATGCTGCTGGCTGAGTTCCTGCCTGTGCAGGATTTAAGAGGTCATGATTTGAATATATTTACTTAAAAAAAATGTTCCAGGGTAGTTTCCTAATGAATCAAATGGCTTTTTTTAAAGCAAGTTAATATAATTAATTTCCCATAGCCTCAGTGATAGAGGTCAGGAGGTCATGGTCCAGATTTTTGTGTGTTCCTGGGGCAGAAGGTCAAAATACGAGTACTCAGATGCACAGATGATACAGTCCTTCTAACTGGCAGTGTAACAGGATTAAAACCAATTTTCCCAAGTGGGTTCGACAGCCCTAGTTGGGTGAAAACGAATAGACACACTGTCCTCTAACTAGCATGCCGTGAAAGGTTATTAATTAGGTTTTGCTGAAATCGGATGAGTTGGGCTGAAAGGTGCGGATATCTAAGCCTAGCTGTAAACCACAGCACATAATACTAACTGTTTCCTGACACTGTGAAGCATTGGTGTAATACATCAATGCATGTGGAAAGAAGCATGGATAGAGCAGACATCATCAGTGCTGTTGGATGAAAATTTGACACTAACACGATTGCGTGACGTAGGAGTAAAGCATGGTAAAGCAAATCTGTGCCGCCTCAGTAGGAGACATTATAAACAGCTTCTCATGGGAACCAATAGTAGGAGTACCTTGGAGTTGCATCTGCATCAGAGGACTGGGCATGCATGGGAATACCCAGTGTGCAGTGACGTCGATTGTGGTAACAACAGTTCAGAGTGGCATGCTTCGCTTCTGAGGTCACAAGTGAGGAGAATTGTCTAGATCTTTTCTCCGGGGTATCTCAGTGTGTTGGGAATTGAACAGTTAGATCAACTGGTTGGCTCTGCACAACTTGATAGAATATTTATGCATGATGAGGCAGATGTGGATAGTGCCTTGTGGAAAAACGTGTACAATTCAGAGGAGCAAATGGATCACCACAGTCTGATGAGATTGATGCAGAGGAAGTGATGAGGTGATCTGGCTGATACTCGATGCTCAGAGGAAAGGCAATGTGGAGGTATAATCAGAATGTTATTGGCACCACTGGTATTAGAACTCTGCACTGGCTGCTGACGATGGGAACAGCGTGCTTATGGAAATTCCCAGACTGCTGTGATATCCATTCTTGAATCAACATAACATGACACTACAGTGAAGATATAAATCTGCTTTTCCATGTTTTCAGCCGTGAGTGCATTGAGAAGAGCTTAGAGAGAAGCAACAGGTGTCCACGATGTGTCGTGCCCATAGAGAGTTCCTGCAGCATCTTCCCAAACTTCACATGTGAGTCATACACTTTAATATCACAGGCTGGTAGGATTCTAATGTTACTGGGTGGTACTGCAAACAAATCAGCCAGATCTGCGGTCCCTTCTAAAATGGAGGACTAGGCGTGGCATAATGTTGAGCTTCGAAGTTATTTTTGCTCCCAACAGCACTTTGCTAATGCAGTTTCCACATTTGGATGGTAGTCTGCTGTTTGGCTGCCTGAGTTTAGTGCTTGGTGCAGCTCTGTGGGCTGTGTTTTTCACGTGGAAAGCCTTTTATTTGTGCATTAGTTGTGTTGTAGTATTCAATATGGCCGATAGCCGGTTTAAGTGTGAGTTGGTGATATACCTTATGTACTAATTCTACGTGCGTTTAGGCAATTTATCATGCCTGACTACTTCCATCAACGATAAACTGCATTTCTGGTATCGACTGTTGGCTTTGGAGCCTCTAGAAACTGTCATATTTATTTACTGCATGCACATATTTCTGGATTGTTCTTGGACTAATTGTTTGTTCACCAGTTGTTTAAATGGGAGAGTTAGAGACATTTCATTTGATTTTCACTGGCACAGGAACAGGGCAGGTACGAAAAGACCCGACTGCGGTGAAGTTGAAACCTCGACTAAGACAGCCAGATATGTAGATGTGCACGCACAACTCAAGTACTGGATCAAGACTAAAGTCCAGGAGTCGATAAACAACCAAAATTTTTGTATCTCCATAGTTTACAGCTGGTGAACGCTAAGACCAAGAGGAAGTACCAGGGGTTGCTAGTTTTCTGATTGATTCATTGATGCTTTTAAAATGACCTTAGCTCCCATGTCGACCAACCCTTGAGGGTACCAGGTAAAGTCTTGGGAAGTAAAGGTGACCAGCATGATTTTCACCACGTAACCCACTGAGTGCAGATTGGTCTATAAAATATAGTCAGTTCAAGTGCCGTCTCCACAGTGAAGGCTGGCTGTTTGGATCTCCGACACGTGCTGTCTCTTGTCCAGGTTGTACACTCTCTCAAACGGCTGCCCGTCCATCTCTTGGTGTTGTCCACCCATTTGTATCGTTGCCCACCTCTTGCTCTCTTGCCTTCGACCTTTCCCTCCAGTAAGGTTTTAAAAAGTGTGTTATGTCTTCTAATAAAATATAGGTAACAAGGTAAAGTCAGGAGATGTGAACCAGCACACGGTTATAAACCATAAGTGCTCCTCCACCAGTACAGACAGCTGATAAGAAACTGTCCGCCTGCGTCACTGTCTGCACGTAACTCTGTAGCTACAGTGAGGTTCCTCCATACTATAGGTTCAGCACTCTATGCCCATTATGCTATAAGGCATGGAAATATTTCTTTTACCTTTTTTTTTATATTTGTATTTCCTACTTGCTTTTAATGAGCCCTTTCTGTTGGTGTTATGTAACTTGTACATCTGGCTATACTTTTGGCACATTTTCTCAACCAGTTGATAGCTCTTTCATTTCCAGGGACTCCACAATGAGACGGAAAATTGTGCTTTTGTTTACTTCTAAAATTGTTAATGCCTGGTTATTTACTGTACTGAATTTCACACTAGAGACAACAACATTGCAGATATAATCTTTTTCAAACGAACAAAAGAAGAAGAAGAATATATACTGTATGAATATTGCGTACTACGGCCCCAATCTGTTAGAAATGCAACCTCGTACCAGTGTCTGAAAACCACACAAACGATCTGAATTTTGAAAATTGACTGTGTAATTGACCTACTTGTTTTATAAATTGAATCATCAACATTTGTGTCTTGACAGTGATGGAGCTGATCAGAAAATATCGCAACAGTGACGAACAAAAGATGGTGAACAAGCAAGTAAGTAGCTAGCTGGGAAGACACTGACCAGTATGGGATAAAACCTGGTATAACCCCCCTCCCGACTTTAACTTCATTAAGAATTAAATAGCAACCTCACATGTTACCCGAGTGGTTTCCGGGGCCCTATTATGGGGGAAACAGGAAAATTCTCACTGCCTCCCCAACAATCATATCGTAAAAGTCGACTGACTGACAGCTTCCTTTGAAGTCGTAAGTGCATCTGCCTGAGAGGCAGAAACCAACAGTCTGTATACAAATAAGTTGGATCTGTAAAATGTGCATGCAACACTCAGATTCTGGAACTAGACTAAAGCCCAGGGGTGAACGAAGAACCAGAACTTTCCGCCGGAGTTTACAACCGGTGAACGTGAAGAAGGATGAGAAAAACTTGGCATATTAGGCATGCTATCTTAGTTCTTACGTACATATTTTCCATGTCCAATTTGGACGTGTTATCTTATGTTCTTATGTGTGTCTGTGGTTTAGGTGCTGAGAATGCATTTTGTAATGTCGGGGTGCCGGTTGTAGGCGATTTTGCAGCAAATCGCTGGCATTGGTTTCGGCAATGGTATTGGGAGCCGACCCCATTCAGAAAGCAGCTGCAAACTACTAAACATCAGTTTGCCTAAAAATAATAATGGCAACAGCCAAAAAAATGCTATTCGTTTTGCAACGTCCTGTAAGAGACACGGACCTACAAAAAAGAAATTCTTGCATGCTGTATAGAACGACTTTAACATACAGCTGTAAATCCTGGACAGTGAGCCAAAATATTTCTTGAGGCCTCGCAGATCTGGTTTTTTTTACAGAGGAATCCTTAGAAAGAGCAACACTGATGTTTTGAAAGAGGTGTGCGCTAAAACACAACTCACCACAAACATCAGAAAGAGACAGTCATCATTTTTTGGTCATGTTATGAGAAGAAAAACTGGAACATGCTGTTGCCAATGGACAGATCAGTGAAAAAAAAAAAAGACGCAGAAGGACAAGGGACGGTTCTTGACAGCTTTTTTATCATGGCATTAAGGAATATCAGCCACAAAATGATACATGTAGTTAAAGATAGCAGGTTATGTAGAGGTTGGCTGGATCACCCATGCCAGTCGGCAAGGCACTTGATGATGATAATGATGATGGTTTTGTGTGTGTGTGTGTGTGGCAGCAACAGTAAAGTAAATTAAGTAAAATACTCTTTTCCACACCTGCAAGCATATAGGGCTAGACCTGTATGTTATAAACCAATCGACACTGGTTTGGTTGTGTGATCAACATCACGCCGGCCGACTTTACTTCCTAGGACTTTATATGGCACCCATTTAAGGCTGTGTCGACCTGGGAGCCAGTTTTTTTTTTTTTTTTTTTTTTTTTTTTGAAAGTCCGACTCTGTTGCGACCTGAAACCATGATCTTCGGATCCGCAGGCAAGCATAGTAACGTTTTTAAGAATACAGTTTCTTTAGTTTCTGACTGTGGCTCAGGCATTGCGAACCTGCTTCGTAATGCTGAAGTGCTGGATTCGATCCTAGCTGCAGGTTGTTTGGCAGCTGACCATGTTGCATTAGTTTCGACAGTGGTACCAAGTGCTGACCGTTCAGAAAGCAGAGGCAAACTACTGAATGTAAAAGTTGTCTAGAAAAACAACAGTACATAATTGATGTAGCGTCCTGTAAAGTATATTTACGTAACTTGTGTATGATTTCAGCATCTGGACGTACAAGACTGGCAGGTTCTGTCCCAGGATTGGGACCTGGGGGACATCAACAACGTCATGTCTTTGCTGGTTCAGAGAAAGCAGCATTTGGAGCAGGGAACCAAGTTGGCAGAAACGCGAATGCTGAAGAACTTTCTAGAGGAAGTCCGAGACAGGAAACAAAGGGTAAGAATAACTAGGCTTGCATAGATAATCGTGTTTATGTTTTGAAAATTACAATTGGATCCACATATGAACATTTAATTATTTGACTTGCTACTTTGGGAAAATCTAGCTATACTTTGTTAAATGTCATTGTATCTACCATCTGTCAGTGCAATCCCTAAAAAGAATACTTGGCATTAAGTGGCAAGACAAGATCACAAACACTGAGGTATTGGGGAAAAAAAGCAGGTATTACAGCAGTTTTCCCAGTGCTTAGTCTACAAAGGTCTAGGTGGCTGGGTCATACCCGGAGAATGGAGTTTGGTAGAGTCCCTAAGAACATCCTCTATGGTCATGGGTAGAAGATGTTGAAGTTGGTCTCTTCTAGGATATAAAGATTGCGAGCGGGACATATGACGCAGGTATTGAGGTAGTTTTATGGGTACAAAATGCAATCGACCATGGAAGGAAATGGGACTAAAGGTTAATAAAAAAAAGGACAGGATTGAAGAAAGAGAGCTGAGTGACTGAGAGCAAGCATATTAAACACCTGTAATGGCAACAATGGTCCTGAAATCCCATGCTGTGCAAAACATTTCTTAATGCGAGCAGGTCTTCCTTCTCCTCTTTTTTGAATTCACCAGCTGAAAACTCTGGTGGAAAGTTCTGGATGTTCGTCCACTTCTGGGCCGCAGCCCTGTTCCAGAACCTGAGTATTGTGTGCGCATCCGTTTGACATTTGTGTGCAGACTGTTGGTCCCTTGCCTCTCAATCAGATGCACTCTGACTTTGAAGGAAGCTCCCAATTAGTCTACTCTTACGACATGCTTCTGGGTAGGCAGTGGGTCTGTTCTTGTTTCCCCTATAATAGGACCCGAGAACCCACATGGGGGAGCAGGTCTTCCAAGTCACACTTGCCATGGGCTGCGATTCGCATGCCGTCCTACACCACTGTAGGCTGGAAAAGACAGACAAGTGCCAAAAGCAGCCACCAGTGTTCTAATGGACCTCTTATCTACCAATGTCCTATAAAATATCACTGTAAGTAGACTAAATAACGAGTGACATTCAACTCCACTAGGATCACACAATGAGGGCTAAACACCAAGTGATACAAAATGAAACCATTCGGATGAGAATCACCCGGGAACAAGTCACAAACCATGTTCAACAGCTAGGTTATATTAGAGCCATGACTACGGCCGGGATGGACCTTTATAATCAAGTAAAAATTGCGTGTGGTGGGGTTATAAACTGTAAATAACATTGTCCCCTCACACCCCTCCCACCCCAGAAAGCCTGAACAGTTGAACTGAAAATTCACCGGTTATAGATCATGGCTATTTAGCTGGTAGCCTGTGAGCCGAATCTGTCTTGCAGAAGCCTAGGTGGTTGAGTGATCTCGAGGCATGGTGTCCGCCTCGAGAGCTGGAGGTCCTGAGTTCAGGCCGCGGTAAAGGCTGGGATTTTTATCAAATGGACTTCTTGTAATTTTCAAGGTCTCTGGGCAGTAAGATCGGACGCCCGTGTGTATTGTTGTGCACATAAAAAAATCCCTTGGAAGTGGAAAAGAGTAGCCTAACGGCGCTGCCTGGACCAAATTTGGAGTTGAAAAATCTACCCAAGTATTTCAGGATCCTCGCCGATGCTACGGAGTTCGTGCACTGCACTGAGATTCTTTAGACTCAGGCTTGAGTTAGAAATAAAACGGAGCACTTTTGGTTTACTAACCTTGTTGTGTGATGTTGATCCGTTGTATAAACTTAGTGGCCGATGGGTCACTGCTAATTGTACTGTATTAACCTTTCTACTCTGGAGCCTCTGGCACATGACAACCCCTATTTTCTACATTTTAGCTCCCCTTGTGGGTTCCATGGGGCCCCCTCTTGAGGAAAACAAGAACAGACCCAATGCCTGCCCAATAAGCATGCCATAAAAGTTTACTAATTTTCGGACTTCCTTTGAAGTCAGAGTGTATCTGTCTGAGAGGCAAGGAACCAACAGTCTGCATTCAGATAAGTCAGATCTGTGTAATGGATGTGTATGCAGCATTCAGGTTCTGGAACAAGACTAAAGTCCAGATGTGGACGAACAACCAAAACTTTCCACTGGAGTTTAAAGCCGCTGAACACAAAGATGAAAAAAAGAAGGCTTGCATTGAAATCTTATTTGCTTCTCACATCTTTGTCTTTGTTTCGTGTTAATTCTTGATTTGATTTTAAATTGTATGACTTCCAGGAGTTGGACAAAGTGAAGAAACAGCTGGAGTTTCTGAATCAGGATTGCCAGTCGATCGGGGTAGGTGTGGCTATGTAGTAATTTGTTTTGTTGGTACTTTTTTTAAAATGATTATGCCATGAAGGTCATCTACAATGATTTCCAGGATTCTAAAATGTTATTATAAAAGAAGTGTTTAAGGGGTACACATGTGTGAACTTTTATCATGGTATGGGGCATCACAGGTCGACCCAGTCTAAACTGTTATTATAAAAGAAGTGTTTAAGGGGTACACATGTGTGAATTTTTATCATCGTATGGGGCATCACAGGTCGACCCAGCCTAAAATGGGTACCAGGATGTATGTCCTATGGAAGTAAAGATGGCTGGCGTAATGCTGACCACCTTACCCACCTAGTGCCGATGGGTGCTCTTCCCATGTACCTGATACGCCTAAAGGCATGAAAAGGGATCTTTACTTTTCATTTGTGGGGTCTTAAAATGTTCAGAAAAGTTTACAGTTTTATAGACTTACTGTAGTACACTTAGACATGGGCGCCATTTGTGTTTCTGGTGATGTCTAAATGGTATTGAGTCTCCTGTCACGGCTTCTTCTGAATCATGTCCAGAGTTATGGCTGCGATGACCCTCTCTTTAAGGCGCTGGATATTCCTTATCTTCTCACAGTCACACACGGTCACATAAAACTTTATACATGTCTTACCATTTTAATACGTGGCACGTGTATATCCATTAAATAGTCTTAGTCGAGCTTTCAGCTTCACTGCATTTGGGTCACCTCATACATGGTCCTTTCCTGCACCAGTGCAAATCAAATTAAATGTCCCTCACTGTCCTAGTTGAAAAACTGGCAAAGAAACAATCATAAATATGTGCATGCAGTAAATGCATTTGGTAGTTTCTAGCAGGGCCAGAGTCAGCAGTCACCAGCAGAAATGCAGTTTGTCGTTGATGGAAGTAGTTGAGCACGATAAATTGGCTATACACATGTAGAATTATTGCACAATTTATTGCCTGGCATATTTCGCTGTATCTCACCAGATGCATACTCAGTAACAATTACATAAATGAAGAATATAAGTGAATCTTTATAACTGAAGTACAAGTTCAACAACAATGTTGAATTGAGAATTGACATCACAGCACTTGGGACACCCATAAGCGCTCCTTCCCCATCTTCAGCAGCAAGCAAAGAGTTAAAATTCCGATTGGTAACTCTCTGATTGTATATCTGCCTCGCCTTTCCCTCTGAGTGTCGAGCGTCGGCCAGATCCCTTCGTAACTCCTGGCAGTGCCATTCTCCTCAGACCGTAATGATCTATCAGTGTTTCGGCACTGTTCACTCGCTCCCAAAGAGCCCTCACAACATCCAGCTAAGTTCAACAACAGTCAAACGCAACTACCTTTTATACCAGGGCAGTATCCTGTTTTTCTGTTTACAGAGTTTATGGCACCAGTAAGGAATCATAGCAGCTTCAGTGTAATTGTTACTGTAGTATGCACCTGACGAGATACAGCGAAATATGCCAGGCACTAAATTGTGCCATCTATTGTGTCTTCTTTGTTCAAACGTGTGTGTGTGTATATATATATATATATCTCTTCAAAATTCTGAGGTACCTGGTTCAATTCCAGCTGCAGGCGATTTGGTAGCAGGCTAATTTGCGTTGGTTTCGACAGTGGTAGCGAGAGCTGACTGTTCAAAGAGCAATAGCAAACTACTGAATGTAAATTTGCCTAGTTCAACCAAACAGCCATCAGATGCTTGGGTTGGTTCTGCAATGTCCTGTAAAGGATCTGAAGCTAACTTAAAGAAAAAAAATTTATATACATATATATATTATGATCTTTGTCTCTGTTTTCTTTTCTGTAGGAAGCATTGCAAGAGTTTGAACAGAAGCAACTTGGCTGTAATGTAAGTACTCTTTCAATCCCAGATGATTTCAAAGTAGAAACCCAATTTGTGCAGTAAAACAGTGAAAATGGCCTCACTCTATGATTTTCAGAAATACTGCACATTCTCTGTTGTATTTACAATATTTTGCCGGATTTCTTTTACATTCCCAGATCAAACATGAATTGCATAAAAACACACTATATGTTGCCTTGATACCCATAGGTATAAGCTGAGCGCAGATGGTGCATTGCTTGGGACTGATGGAGTTAACATCATCTGTTGAAAACTTCTTGTTTGTAGTCCCTCTTGATTTGGGTTCTCTGCTAACTGAGCATGTATGGCTCTTTTCTGATGCAGTACTACAGCCCCCCCCCCCCCCCCCCCTTTTTTTTATAAAAAACTAGTAATGCTTCAGTTGTATGAAGCTAGACTCAGCTTTACAGACGAGCTGGAACTCAGTGGGGGATGTGGTCAGAACACTTGTCAGCATAACCTTCCCTTCTTATGGCGTTACCTTGAATTTTTTAACACAAGGCGACAAAGGATGTTCTCATTGCATTGAAGCCCTCTATGATTCGTGCTGGTGGTGATGCAGCCATGATTGCCTGTCACCTCTAATCATCTCCTCCACCCACTGCACGGATGTGTCTGTTGCAATCGCAGCCGGACGATCAGATTGGACCATCAACAATGTTAGAGCGCCTTTGAGAATTTGTGTGTGTACCCAGCTGTGCACCACTTTGCGGGATGAACATTTGTCAGCATAAACAGGAAGCATTTCATTATGAATGTGCTTTCTTTTGCAGGCAGGCCTTTTGCACACACACACACAAAAAGTAAAGGCGCAGCCGCATGTTTTTATTAATGGTACACTCTGTACGTACAGTTGCCATTTTGTTTCTGTGTTGCGAATGTGGGTATGCAATACCTAGCGCCACCTAAGGAATGGAGACATAAAGTTCCATGTTGCTGTCATCTAATGACACCTTTAGAAACCACCAATTACATTTTCTTGCCATCACATAAACATTTGAGACTTACTTCCCCTCATATTTTGGTCATATCAAGCGCTGTGGCAGATTGGAAAAACATAATAGCAGAAGGCATGCTACCAGGAAGGAGGGGCAGGATCTGAGAACATGAAAATGGGTGGAGGGTGTAAGTGACTCCTTGAATGTGAAAGTACAGGAGCCGGGAGAGCTGGCCGACATTCATTCAAGCAGACTGGGATGAGAACGATGTTTTGCAAAGAACCTGCTACGTAGCATAGCGAAGTACAGCATTATTTTTTCTTACTATGCTATTTTACATTCAGTATTTTACCACTGCTTTGCGAAAAATTAGCGCTGTAACCGCTGACAACATCAACACAAAGCAATGATATGCCAGATTGCCTGTATCTGGAATCAGCCAGGGTATTCAGAATTAGAAAATGTGTTTGCAATGCCCCAGCCACAGATGCCAGCATAAAACAGTTCTTTTCTCTTTAACAGGATCACCTTGTGCCTAACAACCCCGCCAGGTCATCGACCGCAGGCTGCAGCAGCTCTAGTGGTGGCACTAATGGGGAGGTTGCTGGATCCAGCGGGGATGCCAGGAGCTCTGGGGTCACTGAATCTTTTGCTGGGGTTGCTGTTGTAAGTTCCCCTGCTGTTTTGTTTTCGGTTCTCTACTCCTGGAATGCCTTGTGGCGTCAGGGCAGGAAGAGATCTCTGTGGAACGGGTCCTTCTGTTCTCTACTCCTGGAATGCCTTGTGGCATCAGGGCAGGAACAGATCTCTGGAATGGCCACCTCTATTTGTTGCGTATAAAATATTGTTCAATGTCTATGATATTTCTGCAGTCCATCTTCTGCATGGTTGACCTCTGGTTCTGTTACCATTGTATCTGTATAATATTGCTGTCTGATGCCAATCTTGTTACATGGCCAAACCATTTGATTTGTTCTTCTTCTTTTCTCTTCTCCTGGAATGCCCTGTAGTTTCAGGGCAAGAAAAGATCCCTGGAAGGAGCCCTTCTGTTCTCTTCGTATAAAGTCCTTTTTAGTGTCTATGATATTTCGGCGGTCCATGTTCGGCGTGGTCGACCTCTGGCTCTGTTATCATTGTATCTGTATAACATTGCTTTCTGTGGTGCCCTGTCCGATGTCAGTCTTGTTACATGACCAAACCATTTGATTTGTTGTCTACCTGTAAAGTTCAGTATTGCTTCTTTGCTGATCCTCCTCCTGATATCATCGTTCCTAAATTGATCTTTTCTTGTTAGACCTAGCATAGTACATAAACATGTCATTTCTGTTGTGACACACCTGATGCTGCTCTGTATTGTTTGTATATCGTCAATGGGCAGGTCTTTAACTTCTACAGAAGGCTGCTCTTGACATGGCATGCCTGGAAATCTCTTTCTCTAGTCAGTTCTCCAACCCTATGTGCTTTCCTAGCCATTGCATCTTCAGTGTCTTGTATCCACTGTTGTGAAGGTCTGTCTCCACTTTATTTTCTGGTAACTGTACCCTCCATAACAGCTTTCTCCAGGCCACCGTGACACTCAGCAGGGCCATGCTGCCTCAGATTTCGGGACAGGATGCTGTTTATGAGCCAATTCTCCTTGATGCTCAGATCATGTAGGATGTCAGTGTGTTCCTCTTCTTGGTCCCTGGTATTCTGAGAATCTCTGTGTAGCAGTTCCCTCCAAAACTGCAGTATTTTTCTTCAACGATTGAGTGAGAGTCCTTGACTCACATTCATAAGCTGCCATGGGAAGGAGGCATGATCTCAAACATGTGTACTTGCTTGCAGATGCTGTGCCATTCTTCCTGCTGTTTAGTTGTTTGTGTTTACTTAGTTGTGAACTATATAAAATTGTGGAAGTCGCCGGATCCCACGGGGATGCCAGGAGCTCTGGGGTCACCGAATCTTGCTGGGGTTGCTGTTGTAAGTTTCCCTGCAGATCGGAAAGTCGTGGGTTCAGGTCCCGAGGGAGCCGGACATATTTCCAAAATGACCTTGGTTCCCAGGTCAGCCCAGCCTTGAGTGGGTACCAGGGAAAGTTCTGAAAAGTAAAAGCAGTCGGCTTGATGTTGACCACATTACCTACCAAGTACTGATTGGTCTAAAAAATGTCAAAATCCAGCCCTGTATGTCCGGTATGCCTAAAGAGATGAAAAAAAAAAGTCTTTTACTTTTTTTTTTTACACATGCCAGTCTTTCCAGACAACATTGTTCCATCATCCTATAGAAGTTTGAGGTTTGAACAACGAATTATCATGGCGCACGGGTAGTAACCCATAAGTGCTCCGTTCTTTCTCACGTCTGAGTTTAAAGAAGCTTGGCACAGTGCACAGGCTGTGTAGCACCGGCGAGGATCCTGAAATACTTTGGGTAGATTTTTAACTCCACATTTTTTGCACGGGCTGCACCATTAGGCTACTCTTTTCGGTTTCCAACTGCCAAGGGATTTTTTTTAAACGTGCATAACAATGCACACAGGCGTCCGGTCTCACTACCCAGATACCAGGGGGAATTACTAGAAGTCCAAGTCCACGTGAAAAAATACCAGCCCTTACGGGGGATTAAACCCTTGAGCCTGGAATCGATATTTCTTAAAATCCGAGAAAATAAAGATGGTCGCGGTTTTGTTGACCACATGGTCTGTAAAATATAAGTCTAGCACTATGTGCCCAATATGCCTGAAGGCGGGGAAAGGTTCCTTTGCTTTACTTTTACATATTGTGGTTTACAGCTAGGCTGCAGTATCTGCACCTTTTGACCCTGCACATACAATTTCAGCAGATTTCTAAATGGTTGCCCTTCAGGACATATTTGCTGAGCTGGGGAGGAGTCTGTTCTTTTCTCCCACCAAAACAGGGCGCCCCGAGACTCATACGAGGAGTTGTGGGCTTTAACTCTTTGAGTCCCAGGGTTGTAGCGTCAGAGGCCCAAGGGGTGGTAATGCAATTTTGAAATTTTCCAAGTGTTCCACATTAAAACAAACCATAATAATTCAGCTACTAATAAAGGAATTGCACTAGACCTAACTGACAATGAAGAATAATGCTTTTTTTTTTGCTAATATTTTATTCTCTTTGTACCAGCTCACTTTGTTTTTGTTGTAGGCTTTGCGTGAGGTATATATCAGAGCTATCCCTCATCAAAGTTGGACTCTCTCAATGACTGAAACAAGTCTGCTTTGTAACTTTCTTTGCTAGCTTTGGATAAATTTGATAAACACATGTTTTTTTTTTTTAAATATGAGGCTTCTAAAGTCATAGATCTTGTTGGCATGCATGATGCAATAATGTTTTCACACAGACACTTAGAAACTTGGTAAAGCTCACAAACATGCTACATTTTATGCTTTTAGCCAGGTATTCGAATATTCTGAACGGTCAGCACGTGCGACTTCAAACACAAAGAACTGAAAATACCATTCAAAACTGTCGGTTTGCGTTGTTATACTGACCAGTTGTAAATTAAAAACCTGAACGTGTCACACGCTGATTGGCGCCCTGGGTAGTAACTGATTAGCACTTGATGCGTTCCTTGGGACTCAAAGAGTTAATACCATGAAACGCTACATAGCCTCTTCCTGACGACTATTAAAATCTTACATTAACACAATATATTCTTGTCCTAATGCAGGCCCGGCCTAAAGTGGAGATGTCGGAGGCCAGAAAGAAGAGAAAACTCAGCCAACATTTCGAGGATCTGGAAAAAGTGTATCTAGACACCCGAGGCGGCTTGGGCTTAGGTATGAGCCAGAAATACTGATCTTGTTGCAACCAGTGTGTAAACACAAGCAATACACTCCCCAGTTTATTGCCTGGCATATTTCGCTGTATCTCGCCAGGAACATTAAGTTGACTTATAATTTAGCAAAGATATTAATCCTCTTGCGATAAAATAAACAAACCTCATTGTTATTGTCGAGTTAGGCCATACATCTCTCCACTGGAAATTCAATATCAGGCATGTTGCACCTGACGAGATACAGCCAATTATGTCAGGTAGTAAATAATGTGGAATGTATTGTTTGTGTCTGCATGATTTTAATTTCAACAGGAAAAAATATTTAATGAGTATTGCAATATGTAAAATAACACGCATGTGTCAGCGCGCTCTCTCTCTCTGTATGTCTGTCTCTCTCTGTCTCTCTGTCTGTCTGTCTCTCTCTCTCTCTCTCTCTCTCTCTCTCTCTCTCTCTCTCTCTCTCTCTCTCTCTCTCTCTCTCTCTCTCGTAAAGAAATATTTCACTTTGTACAATTATGTTCCTGTTAGAAAATGAGTATTTAATTTAATCTGTAGGTTCCTATTAGTGAAGAGACAATTACGTTTGTAAAGTAGTATTTCACTGTGTAAACTAGTATTCTTGTATAAAATTTAATATTCCTATGACTGTATCCTTGCTTATAAAGAAACATTTCTTTTTGAAAAGTAGTGAGTTTTCCTGTTTTCAAATTCAGGTGGTGAAAGTGATGGCAGTTTAGAGCAGTTTGCTGTCTGCCTGTCCAAGTTTTCCCAGTATACATCCATCCGAGCAGTTGCCAGTTTGAACTACACACATGAAGTTTTCACAAACAGTTCGTCAATAGTCTCCAGGTAACGGGGTACATGTGTCAGTTCTCTGCAGTTTATCTCTGTACATTTCTTCTTTGCATTCACTGGCTGTAAACTCCAGCGGAAAGTTGCAGTGTTTCCACTTCTGGGTTCCGGGGCTCCATTGTAGAAAAAAAATAAAAATAGACTCACTGCCTGCCCGAAAGCATGTCATAAGAGTCGACTAATTGGGAGCTTCCCTCAAAGTTGGAGTACATTTGCCTGAGAGGCAAGGAACCAACAGTCTGCTTGCAAATGAGTCAGACTTGTGACTGGATATGCACGCAACACTGAGTTTTCAGAATGTAAATGAAGAAATTAGGAAAAATTTGTCCCTGTTTGGGTTCCAGAGCACTATTTTATGAGAGAGAGAATAGATCTGCTGCCCTGTTAACAAATATGTCGTAAAATGCGGCTGACTAGGGGTGTTTCCTTCCAAACTGGAGTGCATTTGCATGAGAAGCAAGACAACAACAGTTTGCATTTGCATACAAATAGACTATATCTGTAAAATGGTTGTGCGTGCAAGTTCTGGGACAAGTTGAAAGTCCAAAAATGGAAGAACAACCAGAACTTTCCGCCGGAGTTTACAGCCTTTGAAAGATAAGAAGAAGAGGATGAACTTGGAGAGGGGGGAGATGTGGTTTCTGAGACAACTGCTGCAAATACCTTTGAACACTCAGAGTAACTAGCGACGACTCGATATAATGGAAGTAGATTGAATCAACATTTTCTGATTGACAAGTTCTTTCAGGTCAACCAAGCCTAAAGTGATCATGAGAAAATATCCTGGGAAGTAAAGGAGATGCAAGATATTGACCACCTCACCCACCCCATGAGTATTATCTAGTCTCTAGAAATTAAGGCTAGCATCATATACCCAGTACATGTAAAAGCAGAAGGACCTTTTTTCACACCTTCAGGCCTATTGGGCATATAGAGCTTGTGTATATTTTATAGACCAATCGGCACTTGGTGGGGGATGTGCAATGCCGGCCTCCTTTACTTTCAGGGACTTTACCAGGTGCCTATTTTAGGCTACGTCAATCTGAAAGCCAAGATCTTTTTGAAACAAAGTCCAGCTCCTAAACTCATGACATTCAAATCCGCAGGTGAGCGTGTTGCCACTACGCCATGGCGACTCTTATCCAGTGGATTTAAGGTGTGGAAATTGTACCATTACTTTTTATTTTGCTTCGGTCAGTTTTTACAAATGTGACTTTACTTAACTCCAGTATTTTGCTGGTTCCTAATACATTTTAAAACTTGTAACGTAATTTGTTCGATTGACAGCATTGAGTTTGACAGAGACAGTGAATTTTTTGCCATTGCCGGCGTGACAAAGAAGATTAAAGTGTTTGAGTACGGGATCATCCGGGATTCTGTCGTTGACCTACATTATCCAGTCACAGAGATGAGCTGTGCATCAAAGATCAGGTACGGGGAGGTCATTATTTACATATAATGTGTACATTAATGTGGATTTTATTCTCATGAGGGTGGGTGGGTTAGTCGACAGATTACCCTCATTGCACATGGAACCATTCAATCCATAAGTGCTCGGATCCCCTCTTTAGTAAATCTTGCAGCGTGTAGCGGCTCACGACACCTGTTCTGTGTTGATTTCTCATTCTTCTTTGGTTTCCTGCATAGCGCTCTTGTCTGGCCACACACCCCTTTTAACACGTTCTTGCAGTTTGGTCATTGTTGCAGATTCACCGTCATCCCTTGGTTCTCGCAAACGTCTTACTTCTCGTAGAGCATTCAGAATATCAGCATGGTTCAGGGCTTGTCCCCCCTCCAAAGTAGCTTTACCTGCAAGTTGATCAGCTTTGGTCACTGCCATGACCTCCATTCAAGGCAACAGCACCAGAATCTTGCTCTACAGTTCAAACTCCAGCCTGAGACGTAAAAACCCAAAAGCTTCTCATATGACGAGCAACAGACCCATTTGTGTAAATGACAGTATACCCCTGTAGAGAATCCTCGAAAATCAAAGCCTGCACTTCTGCCTTAACAGCGGCTGGACTTTCTTGTCTGCATTTTCTGTCTAGGCGGATGCAAACAGGAATGGTAATACAGCATAACTCGTGAGGGTTGTTGTGGTGCAGTCACACTTGCCGGCCAGTTCATGAATCATAGGGTTGAATTCTGTCAGAAGAATTAAGATACCCTTACTCCCATCCTCATACAGCAAGTCCTTTGTAGAATGTTGCTCTTATTACAGCCCGCTTGAAAGAAACTCGGTCTTTCACCAGCTGTCCCACCTCTTGCACTTACATTCTCAAAGTGTCACATTTATTTGTGCCATTCTTCATACTGGTCGGCCTTAGCCCTTCTTTCCTGGAACCATGCCTTCTGCTATTATTTTTTCCCAATCCCATGTGGCGCTTGATGTGGCCCAAAATATTATAATGTCTAAGACAGAATGATCTTTTTTTACTAGCCAATCTTCCCTCATGTTAAGGGTCTCCAAGTGGCGAAATGGTCGAGCTATTTGCCTCATGCTGTGAAAGTAATGAGTTCATGGCGGCGCTATTCATTGACTAGTGCAATTTTTACTGAGATCTCTGGGGATCGTTGCCCTAGCTACGGAGATTGTGCTCTGTATGATGCTCTTGGCAGGCAGCTAGCTGTTCTTGAGTCATGGGGAATAAAATCCGGTGCAATGAAGTTGATCCTCTCACATTTACCTTCATGTTCAGATCTTTTAGGATGTCTGGATTTGTTTTCTTGCTCCATTATATTCTAAGAATCTTTCTATAGCATTTCAGCTCAGAAACTTTTTTCTTCACTTGCTGCTGAAGATGGGGATTGAGCAGTTATGGGAGTGTCCTGAGTGCTGTGTGTCCATTCTTAATTCAGTATTCAACATATTCAACTATAACTACACTATTCTCATGAAATGCTCTGCATATAAAGTAGAGAAGATGGGGAGGACACGGGGTTAGCTGCATGCAGTAGCAAAGGATAGGACAACTTGGTGAGAGTTGGTTGAGAGCCTGTGCTCCAGTGGGGATAAAGAGAAGATGAAAAGATACCTTTAGCTGATCTCAACTCCCAGGTTAAGCCACCTTAAATTTTCTTCTATGCATTTGGTTTTGTATGCTTAGATCAGACCATCAGTTGGGTTGCCTCTATGAACTTGCATGTCAGCTGCAGGTCCTGCATGGTTCCCCATAGCTTGCTCTGCACACTTTGCTCTTGAGGTCAGGTGTGTTTTTGAAGTTGCAGGTAGAGTGGGCAGGTCTGCAAAATGTGCTCAGGTGTTTGGGGTTCTGTTTGACAGGCACACTGGGGGGACTGTACAATCTTTATTTTATGCATGTGGTAGTTGAGCCTGCAGTGTCCTGTTCGTAGATGGAAAATTGTTGTATGTTGCTTTATGTTGAGTCTGCTGATGGGGTCTTGTGGATGTTTACTGTTAGTTTGTTCTCTCCACAATCCCTTGTATTTTCCTTTGATAAGTGTTCTAATTTCTGGTAATGACAATGAATGGGTGTGTTGTTTCTCCTTTGTTCCATTTTTTGCAAGTCACCTTAAATAGGTAGGGAAAATCTCCTGGGAAGTAAAGGTGACTAGAAATGTGTTGACCACATCAGTTTAGTGCCGATTGGTCTCTACAGCTATGTGGTTTTTCTGATTCACCGTCTTTGAACAAAATATGGGGCTAATGCACCAGTAATTATCAAATATTGTATAATGTGTCAGCACACAAACTGATACATGCCTTTGTTCATGTTAGAAATCATCTTCATCACACATCGGAAATAACCATAACTGCTCCGATCTCCTCCTGAGTATATCTTCAAGTATTTTTAGGCTGACAACTCCCATTCTATTCTGGTTGATTAACTTCGGGTGGCTCCCGCATGGTTTTCTTGTCTCGCTGCTCCAATTGGTACAACCAGTTTATTCAGTGAAAAATCATTTTCTACGAAACTAACTTCAAAACTGTTAGGTCCTTGTGTGGGTGTTATGGCCCTGTTAAGGGGTGGGAATACAACCCACTGACTTCCAACAAGCTTGTTGTAAAAAAAGTGACTTATTAGAGTTTGTCTTTAAGATTAGAAGCTCATTGATATGAGAGATGAGGAATTAACAGTCTGCATACAAGTAGGCCAGATTTGTAAAATGAATATGCACACAAAACTCAAAAGTTCTGGTGCTAGATTAAAGTCCAGAAATGGGTGAACAGCTAAAACTTTCCGCTGGAGTTTACAGCCGGTGAATGCAAAGAAGTAGAAGAGAAGACCACAAGATGTTGGGAAGCATGATTGCTCACTCTGTTTGGCAAAGCCTTTGATGATGATGATGATATTCAAATAGATTTGACAACTTTCTCAAGGAACATGTAACTGGTTGTAAAGTGTTAGTGTTATATAATATGTTTGGAACATGGGACCACTTGGAAAGATCTAGAATTCTCTAAATTTTTGTGTACGAAGAAAACATCAGGACACAATAAAGTAAACTTTGATGATCTTAAGGATTTCACGATTTTCCTTGAATTTCACTGCCAAGGGGTGGGAAACTCATTTCCTCTCATGTATGTTAACATTATAATAATGTTTATATACATAGAAGCCCAGCTCGCTAGCATAGTTGGCTAAACCTGACTTTGCGATGATCGGGTGACGAACTCGTTGTGGTCAGGGTTCACGCCCGGGGTAGACAGAAAAGCCACATTTCTCCCTGGTTTACAGAATTTATCATGAAATAAGAGCCGTAGGGTTACGATGTTCATAGCACCGAGCCCAAGGTTTAAAAACTCATGGTTTCAGGATATTTAAAAAAAAAATATTTTTTTTTATATAGAAAAGGTTAAAAAACATTGAAGTAAACATTGATGATCCCAATGATTTCACTGTTTTCCTTTTGTGGTCCAGCTGTATAGCCTGGAACCCGTACAAGAAGCACATGTTGAGCAGTGCCGACTACGATGGAATTGTCTACATGTGGGACACCAGCACCAACCAGCGGACTCAGACATTCCAGGTTAGATCCCTCGACCATGTTATAGTTAATCATCATTGTGTGCCTAGCCGATAACTGCAGGCCGTGATGTTTCACCATCTCACACAATCACCAGAGTCAGGGATTGGGTCACTGCTCGTGCCCATCCTACTTTCATATGGCCGGTCTATCCAGATAGTTATCTATCTGCCTTCCTGTTGCTCTCTTTTCATCAGACTTGCTAGTTGTTACCAAGTTCAAGTCTATTCCTTCTCCTAACATGTCCAGAAACCACATTCTATGTCTCATTTCTTTGTTGTTACTGTAGATATTCTCATCAGACACCCCATACATGTCTTTTCTTCCCTCTCTTCTCTCTCATTCTTTTCCTTCTGTAATGATGTCTTTATCTCAGATATATTTAACGTTTCTGCTTCTGACTTGTTTCTGTCAAAATTCTGCCCGTGTCTCAGATTTGTTCTTGATTTGGTTTGGCCTATGTCTGTGACTCAGGTGTCTGCCTAACTCTTACATTTCTGTGTTTGCAGCCTGTTTTTTTTTTTTTTATATAAAAAAAAAAAAATAACAATATATCTTTAGTCAGAAAGGTAAAAGTGACACTGCAGTCTCATTAAAAAAAAATGTATACTCTATATTTCTCTGGTCACATTTGCATCTCAGGCCTCATGAACACTCATCGTAATTCCTAATTACCCGGTTCGGTACAGCTATGGGTGATTTGCAGCAGGTTGCTGTATATTGTTTCGACAATAGTATTGAATGCCAACCACTCAGAAAGCTACATCCTCTAAAGAATACATTTCATTTTATATTTCTCTGGCAACTTTGCAGCAATGCAGAGTTGTAGTCCCCGATCTGGTTCATTGGAGAAGAGAATCTGAACAATCTTCCCTATCTTCCATGGGAGGGAATCTTGTTTTCCAGACAACTTCATGGGAAAGTGACATGAGGTCTAATCTTCTTCTTCTGCATTTACTGGCTGTAAACTCCAGTAGACAGCTCAGGGTGTTCGTCCACATCCAGGCTGAAGTCTTGTTCCAGAACCTGAGTGCTGCGTGCACATCCGTTTCACAGATCTGGCTTAATTGTATGCAGACTTCCTTGCTTCCTGGTTCCTTGCCTCTCAGGCAGATTGCCTTCTGACATCGAAGGATGCCCGCAATTAGTCGACTCCTTTGACATGCTTGTTGGGGAGGGAGTGGGTCTGTTTTTATTTTGCCCACAATGTTGGTACGAATATGCTTTTTATAATCTGTTTCTTGCCGCCCTTACTTGCGTTTGGATATCTTAATAATGGTATCAGTTGGGATATTGTTTGTTTGTTTGAGTATCCAGAAGCCATGAGTTGTTAATGTTAACCCTTAGGCTCAGTATTATGGATATCGCAACCTTTTGGCCTTGATCCCATTTTAAATACCATAAATCTGGGAGAAATGTGGCTTTTCTGCCCACCCCTGGGAGTGAACCCGGACCACAAGGAGTTCGTCACCTGCTCACCGTGCAATCCGGTTTAGCCAACTACGCTAGAGAGACGGGCATCAGTTGGTATATAAGTTCACTGACTCATTAGCCTCTTTTTTTTCTATTTCCCGATCTATTCTCCCATCCTCCAAGAATATACTTCCTAGATATTTAATTTCTTTGAATTGCTTCTGTAATCAGTAATTCATGAATTGTATCTCTCTGTACCCAGGAACATGAAAAGAGATGCTGGAGTGTGGACTTCAACCGCATGGATCCCAAGATGTTGGCTTCTGGCTCAGATGACACAAAAGGTGTGTAAGATCTTAACTGGTACGTAGTTGAGTGTTGACCTCAGAACTGATTATCACAGCACTCGGGTCATCCCCATCCTGACTGATCTCAGCAGCCAACGAAGGGTTCCAATTCCGGTGATGCCAGTAGCACTTTAATTATATGTCCATCTTGCCTTTCCTCTGAGTGTAGAGAGTTGACCAGATCCCCTGGTCACTCACAGCTGTACCATTCTCTCTCCAGACCATAATGATCTATTAGTGCCTCCGCAATGTTTACTTGCTGCCAAAGGGCCTTGACCACATCTGCGTCAAGGTATGCTATATTTGCACACCACAATCTAGAGATGTATACCTCTCAGGATAGAAGAGAAAGATCATAAGATACCTATTTCTGTACATTACAGGGTTGAAGAGGAAAGGCTGCTCTTCTGCCTTGGGATGTAGAGGTTTGCGAGAGAGAGATGTATACCTCTCAGGATAGAAGAGAGAAATCATAAGATACCTATATCTGTACATTACAGGGTTGATGAGGAAGGGCTCCTCTTCTGCCTTGGGATGTAGAGGTTTGCGAGAGAGAGATGTATACCTCTCAGGATAGAAGAGAAAGATCATAAGATACCTATATCTGTACATTACAGGGTTGAAGAGGAAAGGCTCCTCTTCTGCCTTGGGATGTAGAGGTTTGCGAGAGAGAGATGTATACCTCTCAGGATAGAAGAGAAAGATCATAAGATACCTATATCTATACATTACAGAGTTGAAGAGGAAAGGCTCCTCTTCTGCCTTGGGATGTAGAGGTTTGCGAGAGAGAGATGTATACCTCTCAGGATAGAAGAGAAAGATCATAAGATACCTATATCTATACATTACAGAGTTGAAGAGGAAGGGCTGCTCTTCTGCCTTGGGATGTAGAGGTTTGCCAGAGAGAGAGATGTATACCTTTCGGGATAGAAGAGGGAAATCATAAGATACCTATATCTATACATTACAGGGTTGAAGAGGAAGGGCTGCTCTTCTGTCTTGGGATGTAGAGGTTTGCGAGAGAGAGATGTATACCTCTCAGGATAGAAGAGAAAGATCATAAGATACCTATATCTGTACATTACAGGGTTGAAGAGGAAAGGCTGCTCTTCTACCTTGGGATGTAGAGGTTTGCCAGAGAGATCTTCTCTATTAGTAGTTTTCTGTCAGTCGGGGACTGTCGGACATTGTCTTCCCAGCTAACCCTGGGTCATCCTGGTGGGCTGGTTCCCTGGTTCTATGTCTCCCATGCCCGCCATGGTGGCAGATTCTCTCCCATTCTGCTACATGTCCAAATCATAGTAACTGTGACACGATTCAAACATGTCCAAATCATAGTAACTGTGACACGATTCAAACATGTCCAAATCATAGTAACTGTGACACGATTCAAACATGTCCAAATCATAGTAACTGTGACACGATTCAAACATGTCCAAATCATAGTAACTGACACGATTCAAACATGTCCAAATCATAGTAACTGTGACACGATTCAAACATGTCCAAATCATAGTAACTGTGACACGATTCAAACATGTCCAAATCATAGTAACTGTGACACGATTCGAACATGTCCAAATCATAGTAACTGTGACACGATTCGAACATGTCCAAATCATAGTAACTGTGACATGATTCGAGACAAATTCTATTCCGTATCCCATAGTTGTGGATTCAAGCTGTATGATAGACATAGCTAGTGAAGACACCTTTTTAAATAATTACTTGCAAGAGGCAGACCAAGAGTACGATGGATAGACAATATATCAGAGATCCTGAGGCAACACGGACTAACAACAACACGTGCAACACACCTGGCCCAGGATAGAAAACTGCGACTCCCCACTACGCTGTGAGGCAATTGTGGACAAGACAAGACAAGACTTGTAACTGTTTTGTTCTAAGGACAAAGAATGGAAATAACCATGAGTAACTCTTTTATTTTTGAGTAAAAATGATATAATAATCTCTTGCAAGTGTGCTGCTGTCAGAATAAAGTGTGGTTATCAAATCTAACTATTGAATCAACAGTCAAACTCTGGGACTGGGATCGATCCACCTCTGTGATGACAATCGAGGGCGGAGCTAACGTCTGCTGTGTCAAGTTCAACCCGACAACTCGTTACAATTTGGCCTTTGGTTCTGCAGGTGAGCCAGCCTGTTGACCTCCTCACCTTCATCATGTATTATTTTTTTTCACTGCTATTTTCAGTGTGTGCCCTGGTTGTATAGGTAGTTACTTTTGAGTGTCAATGATTTTGTATTTCAGGAGGAATTATTTATTAGCTTTATTTTATTCACTGTTATGTATTAGCTTTATTTTATTCACTTTTATGTATTAGCTTTATTTTATTCACTTTTATGTATTAGCTTTATTTTATTCACTTTTGTGTATTAGCTTTATTTTATTCACTTTTATGTATTAGCTTTATTTTATTCACTTTTATTTATTAGCTTTATTTTATTCACTGTTATGTATTAGTTTTATTTTATTCACTTTTATGTATTAGCTTTATTTAAATTCACTTTTATGTATTAGCTTTATTTTATTCACTTTTATGTATTAGCTTTATTTTATTCACTTTTATGTATTAGCTTTATTTTATTCACTTTTATGTATTAGCTTTATTTTATTCACTTTTATGTATTAGCTTTATTTTATTCACTTTTGTGTATTAACTTTATTTTATTCACTTTTGTGTATTAGCTTTATTTTATTCACTTTTATGTATTAGCTTTATTTTATTCACTTTTATGTATTAGCTTTATTTTATTCACTTTTATGTATTAGCTTTATTTTATTCACTTTTATGTATTAGCTTTATTTTATTCACTTTTGTGTATTAGCTTTATTTTATTCACCTGTTACTGTAGTATGTGCCCAGCTATGTACAGGGAAATATGCCAAGATGGTAAATTGTGCAGTCTTTTCTTTGTGTCTTCTTCATTCACATTTTTTGTGTCATTTGTCATTTTCTTCATTACTATTCCACGTGTGGATACCCGCCTACCCAGAAGCATGTCATAAATAAAAAGTAAGTGAATGACCCTTTTCAAATGCCTGTAGGCATATTGGGCATACAGGGCTAGATCTATATTTTTATAGACCAATCGGCACTTGTTGGGTGATGTAGTCAGCATCACGCCGGCCGCCTTTACTTCCCAGAATTGCACGTGTTACCCACTCAAGGCTGGGTCGACCTGGGAGTCAAAGTCATTTTTTAAAGAAAAGCACGTCTAGCGCCTTTAGGGCACGAACTCACGACCTTCCGGTCCGCAGGCGGGAGTAGCATGTCATCAGAGTCGACTAATTGGGAGCTTCCTTCAGACTCTTAGTGCGTCTGTCTGAGAGGCAAGGAACCAATAGTCTGCATACAAATGAGTTAGATCTGTAAAATGGATGTACGTGCAAAACACTCAGGTTCTGGAACAGGACTATAGTCCAGAACGTGCCCAAAGTAAAAACAAAGAGATTTTCAAGAGACTTGCAGACTCTGTCACTGGAGTGGCTAGATTTGATGGCTGTCAACTCCATGTCTGGGACACCTTGGTGGTCCTGGGAACAGAAGTGCATGGGTACTGGTTTCACTCTGTAATTCTCATGTTGTTCCCCCTTATCCTCTTTTAATGTCAGGCTTGAATCATGTTCCCTGATTTATTGTATTCTATCACATTCCTGATGAGCATTTCATAGTCACGTATTTGTCACAAGACTCTTTTTTTAAGAATCACCATTTACAGTACCCCCAAGCATACCAGTTGGTGAATTTGTTGTGTGTGTATGTACCTATGGATAGATAGATTCAGCAGCTTTTGGTTTAGTTGAGTGCAGTAACTAATTTATTGAGTGTAATAGCCCCGGCGTCCGTGGCTAAGGTGTTGCGAGTCCGACTCGTGAGCCAGCATACCGCGATCGAAACCCACTGCAGGCTGCGTGGATTTTTTGTCGTGGTATGGGACGTCGCCGGTCGACCCAGCCTAAAATGGGTACCAGGATGGGCTGTCCTGGGAAAGTAAAGACAGCCGGCGTAATGCTGACCACATTGCCCACAGAGTGCTGATGGTCTGTAAAAATATGGGACGCTCTGTCCATATGCCCGATGCGCCGAAAGGCGTGAAAAGGGAACTTTACTTTTTTTTACTTACTTTACTTAATAGCCCCTGCTTTCCTCAACCCCCGGTCCTCTCTGCCTTCCCCCTTTCTCTACTCTCTTTCAATGTTGGTGGACAAAGGTACAAATCATCATCATTTTCTTTTGTCATCAATTTATTGATTTGGCTTTTGTATATGTTCAGAGGAATACTGTCAATAATTTTTGTACCCAATAAACTTTAAAAAAAAAAAATTTAAATTTAGTTTTGTCAGTGACAGAAATTACATTTTAATTAATTTATATTTTAAACCTAACCTAGAAATGATTGTTGTTTTTGTTTACAGATCACTGTGTTCATTACTATGACCTTCGGCATCCCAAGAAAGCACTGTACGTGTTCAGGGGTCATGGAAAGGCAGTTTCTTACGTCAAGTTCCTGAATGGCAATGATATGGTGTCCGCGTATGTGCGAGTTTCGACTTCCGTCTTAAATTTTCTCGTGGAATCACTTATTGCCTCTGTTTTAACACGTTTAGAGGTGTTTAAAAATGAGAAGACTGTCTTCATTGCACTGGGTTTTTACCCCACATAGCTCAGTCTCTCTCTGCATTCATATTGTGCATATTGTTAATTGAATATAACATGCTTTATTGATCAGATGCAATTGCTGTGTTCCACATGTGGATTCCAGTGCCCCTTTATAGGGAAAACAAGAACAGACCACTATCTTCCAAACAAGCGTGTCGTAAGAGTCGACTAATTGGGGGCTTCCTTCAAAGTTGGAGTGCATCTGCCTGAAAGCCAAGAAACCAACAGTCTACAAACAAATAAGAAAGATCTGTAAAACGGTTTCCATGCAAAACTCAGGTCCCAGAACAAAGCCAAAGTGCAGAAGTGGGTGAACAACCAGGTCTTTACAGCGGGTGAATGCAGACAGACAACAACAACAACAACAATTGCTGTGTGAAAGATAAGTGCTTGGAAGGGGCAAATATAAAACAGGGCCTACACAAACAATTTGTGACCCTTTGAAAATAAAGTTTGTTCGTTCCACAGAATGGCGAGCTGCCTACAGAGATTATTGCACAAAGCACAGAATCCCATGGTTCAAGTGAAAACTCTCTGGGATCTCTAAAACACTTGCTTCTTTGTCTTCTTCCTTTGCATTTTCCTTTAAAAGGGATATTGTGATGTGGTTTACAGCTTGTCTGTGGTATCTACTACGCCTTTTGTCCAATAAATCCAAATTACTGCAGTTCTCAGTTAGCCATTTTTATGACACGCTTGTTAAGGAAACAATAAAAGTAAGGTAACATAAAGTAAAGTAAAGGACCCTTTCCACGACTTCTGGCCTATTGGGCATATAGGGCTAGACCTATATTCTATAGACCAGTCGGCACTTGTTGGGCGATGCTGTCAGCATCACGTCAGCCGCCTTTACTTTCCAATACTTGTACCTGGTACCCACTCTTACATTGTGTGTGTGTGTGTGTATGTATCTTATAGTTGAATCTTACTTTGTGTATCTTAAAGTTACTTTTTGTATCTTAAAGTGGATTTTTACTTTTTGTGCCTTAAAGTGGATCCTTACTTTGTGTATCTTAAAGTAGATTCTTACTTTTTATACCTTAAAGTGGATCCTTACTTTTTGTATCTTAAAGTAGATTCTTACTTTTTATACCTTAAAGTGGATCCTTACTTTGTGTATCTTAAAGTAGATTCTTACTTTTTATACCTTAAAGTGGATCCTTACTTTGTGTATCTTAAAGTGGATATTTACTTGTTGTGCCTTAAAGTGGATATTTACTTTTTTGTACCTTAAAGTGGATCCTTACTTTCTTATTTCCTGAAGTGAATTTTTACTTTTTGTACCTTAAAGAAGATTCTAAATTTTTTCCATTTTAAAACAGATTTTTAGGCTTTTTTACAGCATGCTCTTATGTTTTGCATTTTAAAGTGGGTTCTTGCTTTTCAAACAGGTCGACTGACAGTCAGCTGAAACTTTGGAGTCTAGGTCGTCACAACGCCATTTCAACATTTAAAGGTCACATCAATGAGAAGAACTTTGTGGGTCTAGCAACGGATGGGGACTACATCGCTTGTGGTGAGCACACGGTCTTCACTTTCTTCCCAAGATATGCTTGAATGCTTGTTTGTAAGTAAAATCAAAGAAAACATAAGACAAGCTAGATGTTGTCAGGGCCCTGTGGAAGTAAGTAAACAGTTTGGAGGCACAAATAGATCATTTCGGTCTGAAGAGAATGGCACTGCGAGGAGTTACCAGGAAATCTGGCTGGCGCTCAACACTTGAGGAAAGGCGAGATGGATATCAACAGACAGTTACTGATCCCATTGGCACTCTGCACTTGCTGCTGAAGATAAGGATGAAGTGCTAATAGGAGTGTCCTGATGATTCTTAATTCAATATTCAACGGTTTTATTTTCTTTCTTCATCGAGTTTGCTTCCCGGTTATATACTTTGTTCATTTCACCTTTTACCTAAAGAAGTAACAAGGATAAGTTTTATGCTTTTTATGTGATTAGTAAGAACTATCATTATAGCAGTCCAGACCTCCAAACTGTTTCAGATGGCAACACCCCTCATGTCAAGAGCTCATGGGCATTTTTGGCTCAGGTCGGAGGGAGAACTGTCAAAGAAGACTGCAGTGCCTTCGCCTTGACGACAAGCAGTTTGACTGTGAAGGTCATGGCAACAACTAAAGCAATAGCCTGGCTAGAAACACAAGACATTCACCCGGGCATGTTTTCTCACCGACTCAATGAATATGCTCAAGAAGATCGAGAAGGGTTGCATATGAAGACAATGAGTGGAGTACCTGAATAGATCTAGGCTGGCAGAAAATCAGCTTCATATTTGTTCCGGGGTATTCTGGTGTAATGGGCAATGAACGCACTGACAGACTTGCAAGTGATGCTCACGTGGGCAACGGACGAGTAGTAGACAGGGCTGATATACTGAATGCCCTCAGAGAGGCGGCTCGATTAAATAAATCAAGTAATGATTGTGAATCTGCAACACTGACAAGACCACACGAATATAACATCAAAAGGGGTGAAGCCAGACAAGAGCACTACACAGGGGCTCAAAGAAGAATATTAAACCAACACTGGTGTCATAAGCCATTTCACGCTGAGGGAGATGCTGAAGAGGGAATCTGAGAACTTATGGACCGAATGGTTCGATGTAGTGATAATAATTTGTTAACAAACTAACTAACCCCTCACGTAGTGCATATATGGTAAGACCCGAACCCCAGAAGCCACAAGACACTGGGAAGGCTAACCTGGTCAATAAATGCCTGCAGACGTCAGACGTGTTGCCTGAAAAGCGCAAATATTGCAGCCGTGAAAACAGGCACAAGTTACATTTTCAGATTATGCAGAAGAAGAAAAGAAAGCAAAAGACTATTATTATTATTTTAAACTCATTGCAGGAAGTGAGAACAACTCCCTCTATTTGTACTATAAGGGATTAACAAGACACATACTGACGTACAAATTTGAACCTGCACGCAGGTTAATCGTGAGTATTTGGTTAATCTTTCATTCATAATTGAATCTTTACACTCTTCATTTTCATCATCATCGTCATACTGCTGTGCCATTATAAATCACATAGGGCTTGCAGTCTTGTCCTCCCTTCGATATTATGGATGTAATCCAGCCTAGCATCTTTGGCCTTCCCTCAGCAGTGTTTATCTTAAGATTTCTCTTGGATTTTACTGCCAAATTTTCCAACTGTAATTTAATTTTAAACAAACAAAATTGTGCTCTTTCCACCTGGGGGTCAGCTGCAATGTATCCACTGGTTCCTGTGGCAGTGTTTCCCAAACCTTTCTTGGTCGTGGCCCCTTTTTTAATGAAAAAAATTCTGCGCACCCTAACCTTAGTAAAAGTATGACTACTCGTGTCTTGGTTGAATTAATTATGAAGCTTTTATAATATTTCGCGGCACCCTAACCTTAGTAAAAGTATGACTACTCGTGTCTTGGTTGAATTAAATATGAAGCTTTTATAATATTTCGCGGCACCCTAACCTTAGTAAAAGTATGACTACTCGTGTCTTGGTTGAATTAATTATGAAGCTTTTATAATATTTCGCGGCACCCTGTGGAGAGGCTGCGGCACGCCAAGGCGCCGCAGCGCACAGTTTAGGAATCACTGTCCTATGGGAATATTTTCTTGGTAAGGCCCCAGTCTCTTTCATGGTTAGTGTTCTTTGGATATTTTCTCAGGAGTGTTAGGAAATAAAGAGGCAGACAGATTGGCTAGTTCTGGTCCAGTGGGTGGTGAATGTATGCATGACAGGCTAGATGTGGTCAAGGCCCATTAGGAACAAGCGAACCACGCAGAAGCCTTTTAGGCTCAATATGCCTAAAGGCATAGAAAAGATCCTTCACTTTATTTACTTAGACTGCATTGACCTGGGAGGCCAGATCATTTTTTTTTTTTAAAGTACGGCTCCATTATGGGTTTGTGATACTTGTCCTGTATTTTTTATAGACCAATCAGCATTTGGTGGGTGATGAATGAAAGAGTGCGAGTCATCTTGTGTAGTCTTATATAATAAATCACTCTCATTAAACATCAGAAAATTAGTACTGAAATATTGAGCCTGTTCTGTTGTATCGCTGTGAATCTTGGAATGTCAGCAAACAAATTAAGAAGAGTTTGGAGGCAACTGAGATGTGGTTCTTGAGAAGAATGTTGAGAATACCTTGGACTGCCAGAATAACTACCATTGAATGCCTGGAAATGGTTAATTAAAGTAGAACATTATACACAACAATGAGAAGGAGAAAAACAAAGTTCTTTGATCACCAAATGAGAAAGGAAGCACAGGACAATATCATGATGACTGGAAAGATCACTGGTAGAAGAGGCAGAGACAGACCAAGATGAATGATGGTGGATGACTTAAGCCAGTGGCATGGAGGAATTTCATCAGTTGAATTAATCCAGAACACCAAAGACCAAGATCTGTGGACATGCATGAATGCCCGTGCCAGCTCACAAGGCACTTGATAATGATGATTAGTCATCTTTTATTTCCCCTAAAAAATGTCCAGATTGCTTTTATTTGCTCGTGTTAGAGCAACAGACAGATGGTTGGTCATCTGATGAGAATGCCCAGGTAGCAGTAGCTACCTCAGAAAGCTACCCTGAAGAAATCTAAAGATCTCACAGCAAGGTGAAGGCCCTGCTAAAAATCTAATGGCATCATCAAGAACAAGCATCAGAATTTGTGGGTGTGTGCGTTTTGGGGTTTTATGTTTGGGAGTGTGTGCGCATGTTGTTTGTGAGTGCATGCTTACATAGAAGTGCATGTGAGTGGAACAGTTGAACATCCTGACTGTAGGAGAGATAAGAGAACTGTATTTATTTAAAATATTTTCTTTTTAAAACCAAAAATCAGGAAAAACCTGGCAAAGATGATGACTCCTCTGAGTTTGTTAGTGCTGTCACGTGGAAGCCGGTGAGTGCGTTTGTTGTGTCCTTATCACTGGTGTTTCCAGTGTGGGTTCTGGGATTCCATGAATGCGGGGGGGGGGGGGGGGGGGGGGGGGGGGGGCCACACACACACACACACCTCACCACCCGCTGGACACATTCAACTAATTAGGGTGTTTCCTTCTAAGTTAAAGCACACCAGCCTGAAAGATAAGGAACCAACAGTCTGCAAACAAATAAGCCAGATCTGTAAAATGGATGTGCACACAAAACTCAGGTTCTGGAGCAAGACTGAAGTCCAGAAGTGGACAAACAACCAAAAGTTTCTGCTAGGGTTTATTAAATTTTTTCCCCCTCTAAATTTATAGTCAAGAAGATCGACTTCATTACACTTTTTCAATCTCTCTCCGCAGAACTGATAGCTGAAAGTCGGCATCTGTGGCTTAGGCGTTGCGAATGCGCTTCGTAATGCCGGGGCGCTTGGTTCAGTCCCAGCTGCAGAAGATTTGACTTGCATTGATTTCAACAGTTGTCCTGGGAGCTGACCATTCAGTTAGCAGTGGCAAACTACTGAACGTAAAATGTGCATTAAAAAAAACCACAGCAGCCAAAAAATGCTGGGGTTCGTTCTGCAACATCCTGTAAAGGATACACAACTGATTTTGCTGAAAGTGTTGCACAAAGCATGAACTGTGCTGCTCCAGTGACAGTCCCCAGGGATCTACATAAAAGTAGCACTCGTAATATGAATGATGTGTTTATGAAACAAACCCATGACCTTCAGAGTAAAATGCAAACAGTTTGACCATTTGGCTATGGAGGCATCTAACCTGTGCATCTCTACAGTGACAGCTATCTTATTTCCCTCATCTGTTTCTTCAACTCCTCCTGTGTGTCGATGGAAATGAAAGAGTTGATGGTGTGGCTGGATCCGCTATCACTACTGATGGTCAACCTATGGATCATGCTGATATTAATAATACCCTCCGAGAAATGGGAAGGGGGAGAACTTTGGGGGGCAGTGAATCCACATCACTCGCCAGAATGGATAGACTTGGGAGTTAACATAGAAACAAAAACCAGATGCACGCCAGGCACATCAGAGGACTTGTTAATCACCATAGAATCGGTACTGTTAGCTGGGGTTCATACTGAGGGGGGGATCTGAGCACCTATGGACATGACCGGAGTGCAGTGATGATAACCCAGCTAACTAAGTAACTAAACTCCCCCTCTACCTAAAAAATTAAGTTTATAGTGGTTCCTTAACATTTACTGCCATATGGTTGAGACATGTTAACCCTTTCGGAATCTATTAAAAAATTACCTTTTTCAAAATTTAATTAAAACAAAATGTATTGTTTGTGAGTCTATGAAGCTCTACTATAAGATAATAGAAGAAGAGAAGTAGAAGAAATTTAGAGTCGGGGTAAGTTTTGATAAAAATCAAGGAGGTTGAAACCTACGACCACCGACAGGTAGGCAAGCACAGTGAACACTCAAAAATTTTTTTTTAGCCCAAGTAATAAGGGTAGCAGGGTAGGGTAAACCCTACCAACAAGAGATGTAAGGCGCCTCCTTCTCTCTGCTAGCCTGCAGAATATCACACGGGTAGAGTACCCGCTTAGGCCCCCTTCCCCATCAGGGCTATGTGAAGTCACGGCAGGCAGGTGATGGATAAATGTGGTGAGCCGCTGAGAAGTTTTCAGTACTGGGTCATCACTTCAGCTGTGCTAGGCAGAAGATGCCTCTATAGTCACAATGGCTAAGACGACCCACCTAGTATGGGCATTAGTCATCACTTTAACTGTGCTAGGCAGAAGATGCCTCTATAGGCACAATGGCTAAGACGACCCACCTAGTATGGGCACTAGTCATCACTTTAACTGTGCTAGGCAGAATGCCTCCATAGGCACAATGGCTAAGACAACCCACCCAGTATGGGCATTAGTCATCACTTTAACTGTGCTAGGCAGAAGATGCCTCTATAGGCACAATGGCTAAGACGACCCACCTAGTATGGGCATTAGTCATCACTTTAACTGTGCTAGGCAGAAGATGCCTCTATAGGCACAATGGCTAAGACGACCCACCTAGTATGGGCACTAGTCATTACTTTAACTGTGCTAGGCATAATGCCTCCATAGGCACAATGGCTAAGACGACCCACCTAGTATGAGCACTAGTCATCACTTTAACTGTGCTAGACAGAATGCCTCCATAGGCACAATGGCTAAGACAACCCACCCAGTATGGACACTGCACTGACAGAAAAAAATTGCAACCTCTGTGAGTATTTTGCAAAGAAATCGATAAACAAAGGTTGTGGATAGGCTTGACTACAAACGCCACACGACATGGACTGAAAACAAGGAGACCCTAACTGATATATCTTGTTTCCAATATAATCATACCTATAATGTCTACAGACAGTGCAGCCACAACCAATACCGCAGCTGTTATTTAGGCCACTGCCAAAAAACATCACCATAAAAAATCCATAAAAGTAAAATCAGTTTTTTCAAGGCAACAGGTTTAAGGACCAAGATCTGGGGCAGGCACCAGTGCCATCGGGCAAGGCACGTGATAGTGATGAGGACAGAGCGATTAGGAAATGGAAAGAATTATTTTTATATTATAATGAAGCGGGAAGGATGAACTTTTCTGCTTCATATATGTGGATGTAACTCTGTAGTAACGCACCTGACGAGATACCGCAAAAAAAATGCATGGCTGTAAATTGTGCAGTTTATTGTTTGTGTCTGCATTATTTAAGTTCATTGCAGGAAAACATTATTTTGTATTTATTTTTGTGTTTTGTCAACAGGATTCCAACATTTTAGTGGCGGCAAACAGTCAAGGATTGGTAAAGGTACATTACTCTAGTTGTCTATGATGTCTGCAGTGGTATTGGGTCATTAGATAGCTCTTAATTTCCAGTTCTGACATTCAAGTGAATAAGTGCAAATATAACATTAGGTAGAAGATGTATCGCCCAGCTAGTGAATAGAATCACATTGTGAATCATGAAGCATTTTTATAATTTATTGATTTGTTCCATTTGAGAATCAAACTTTTTTCTCATTGATTTGTTCTATTTTTGAACTTTTTAATTTATTGTTTCATGTGAGAATTAAACTTTGTGTATTTTAATATTTTTTTTTTCTGCTTTAGAACTCCCACAATGCATTGCTTCTTCTGTTTTAGAACTCTTGAAATTTATTGATTTGTTCCATGTGAGAATTAAACTTTCTGTATTTTAATTTTTTTTTCTGCTTTAGAACTCCCACAATGTATTGCTTCTTCTGTTTTAGAACTCTTGAAATTTATTGATTTGTTCCATTTGAGAATTAAACTTTCTGTATTTTAATTTTTTTTCTGCTTTAGAACTCCCACAATGTATTGCTTCTTCTGTTTTAGAACTCTTGAAATTTATTGATTTGTTCCATTTTAGAATTCAGCTTTTTATAATTCATTGATTTTTTTTTTTTTTGAATTCTTAATTTATTTATTTGTTGCATTTTAGAATTCAGCTTTGTATAATTTATTTAATTCTAGAATTCAGCTCTTATAATTTGTTTTGTTGTGTTTTAGAATTAAACTTTTTGTTTATTCCAGCTACTGGAGCTAGTTTGATCAGGTGACAGCAGCCAATTTGCCTACAAGACAGCCCCTGTGGGCACAAGACAGAACCGACTGACATCGGAGACGCAGCTGTTTGGAGCACAAGACAGTTTCAGAACAAGATGGCCAGTTCTGGATGACGTACCTAATTTTCTACCTCATTGTTAAATCTCAGGTCAATTAGAGTTGACCTGTGATGGATCTTTGTATATAAATTGACTTTGATGTATGTTTTATATTGGTTTGTTTTTGTTTCAAAAAAGTCCTGGAGCATTCAGGACCGATTCTGTAATTAGATAAAAACTTTTCCCTGTTGTAAATTTAAATATATGCCCCTTTGTGTGGAGTTGGAGTTAAACTCTCCGTATAGTTTAAACTATGTGGTTCAAAACACCACATTGAACATTTTATTACCTGGCCTTGGAGTTAAACTCTGTATAGTTTAAGCTATGTTGATACAAACACCACGTTGCACATTTTATTACCTGGCAGTGAAGTTGGAGTTAAACTCTCTGTATATTTTAAATAATGTGGATACAAACACCACATTGAACATTTTATTACCTGGCAGTGGAGTTGAAGTTAAACTCTGTATAGTTTAAGCTATGTTGATACAAACACCACATTGCACATTTTATTACCTGGCAGTGAAGTTGGAGTTAAACTCCCTGTTTATTTTAAATAATGTGGATTCAAACACCACATTGCACATTTTATTACCTGGCATATCCCACCACACAGGCACTGAAATGGGAAGTGGAGAGATTGAGGAAATAAGAACATCCAAGAGAAACCCTAAGGTGAGAGAAGCAAAATGGGTGCTTTCTTAATATCCTACTCCAAACAGGGAAAATACACAGGTCACGGGACAGTCTGGTATTTCAGGGGGTGGTAGATAGGCTGCATGCAGTCATGGGACATAGGCTGCATGCAGTCGTGGGACCTAGGCTGCACACTCTCGTGGGATGTAGGTGGGTTGGAGTTAGGGCCAGTTCTAGATGTTTTGGGGTCGTTAAAAGCATCAGAAAGCCGGGAAACCCAGTCTTACAACCCTTTAAAATGTTGGACTGTCCCGTGACGTCATCTGGTGTAGGATATTAATAAAGCACCACAAAATGGGCTGGGCTGGATTCCCATCCACAATGTGGAAGTGATTGCACAGGATAGACTGAGCCCTATGTGGCATTTGATGGCACAGCAGCATCATGATGATGATTTGCTCTGTCTCGTCAGGTGCATTACTACAAAAATCAATCAGTCAATCAGGTGCCATCTCCACAGTTAAGGTTGGCTGCAGTGGATCTCCAACATGCCCTGTCCCTTGTCCAGGTTGTACACTCTCTCAGAATGCTGCCCCTCCATCTCTTGATGTTGTCCTCCCACTTGTATCCTTGCCCACCTTTTGCTCTCCTGCCTTCGACCTTCCCCTCCAGTATGGTCTTCAAAATTGTGTTATTTTTTTTTATGTGGCCAAATTATCAAAGCAGACTCTTCTTTATTTCTTTCAGTAACTCTCTTCTCATTCTCAGAACCTCTGCATTAGACTGTTTTTGTTTTCATGAAGTGTGGCCTATCCTTCTGTATACTCACATTTCCAGAGACTCAGTTCGATTTTCTAGTTGCTTGTTCATTGTCGAGGCTTCTGTACCATATAGCAGGAGTGAGTATATGTAAGATTTGACGATTCTCATTTTTAGTTTCTTGTTTATCTTATTCATCTTAGTAAAGACAGTTTTAACCATTCCTATTCTATTTTTGATTTCTTCGATCATCTGTTACTACGTGTCCTAGATAGGAGAAACCTGTTACTTATTCTGACAGCTCTCCTTTTACTGTGATGTTTACTCTTAGCCGCTTCTTTTCGTTGTTAATTACCATAGTTTTTGTTTTTCTTATGTTAATGTCTAAACCATTACTCTGCACGCTGCCTAGCAGTGTATAACTACAAAAATGCTGAATTCAGAATCAATATAGCACTCATGACACTCCCATAAGCACTCCGTCCCATCTTCAGGTCGATTAAAATAGTGCCTGATATGCAATTAGTGTTAAAAGAGACACTGCTGTATGTACAATTTCGATCAATAAATCAGTTGTTCCTCTCTAGGATGGTATCTAAAGACCTTCCCCACCATGCTGAGATAAATAAATTTCAATCTGATTGGCAGACCAATGAGGTAGATCCCATATACCCTGTTCAACCTGGTGTGAATTTATAATCAGGGCAACGGCAGCACCAGCCACTTGTAATTTAGTCCTATGTTGGTGATGATGTGCACACGTATAGCTAAATATGTGGATGCACATGAGAGCGAGGGAACAGTGCGGAGGCACATAAGATCATTATGTTCCGAGCAGTTTCCAGGTTCAACATTCAAGGAAAAGGCCAGACGGATTTACAGTCAGAAAGTTACTGGTACCATCAGAATTGGAACTCTTTGCCTGCTGCTGAAGATGGGGATGGAGTGCTTATGGGAGTGTCCTGAGTGCTATGTTGATTCTGAATTCAGCATTTTTGTAGTTATACACTGCTAGGCGGCGTGCAGAGTAATGGTTTAGACATTAACATAAGAAAAACAAAAACTATGGTAATTAACAACGGAAAGAAGCGGGCGGCCAAGTGTGAACATCACAGTAAAAGGAGAGCTTTCAGAATAAGTAACAGGTTTGATATATCTAGGACACGAAGTAACAGACGATAGAAGAAACAAAACAGAAATCAAAAACAGAATAGGAATGGTTAAAAGTGTCTTTACCGAGATGAATAAGATAAACAAGAAACTAAAAATGAGAATCGTCAAATGTTAATATACTCAGTCCTGCTATGTGGAGCAGAAACCTGGACAATGAACAAGCAACTAGAAAATCGAACTGTCTCTGAAGATGTGAGTATACAGAAGGATAGGTCACACTTCATGGAAATCTTTTCTTTGCAGTTTACACACAGTGTTGACATTTACAGCTAGGCTGTGACATTGCCACCTTCTAACCTACACATCTGATTTCAGAAAAAATGCTCTAAATTAGAAGCCTTTCTACAATGAGGGGGGGGGGGGGGAGGGGTTAATTGGTCTACACCCCCCTCCCATTGGGAACCTACACACTGAAACAGTCTAAAGCAGGACTAAAGTATAGTTAGAACCCAAAGTAAAAATGAAAAGACTGAACAGAACTAGTCACCTTACATTCACAGACAAGGAAAGCTTTCAAGACCATCTCAACATGAATAAGAAAATATATGAATATATTTTGTCCATTAAACATGTTTGTGTCACTGAGAATCTTGTTTGTGTTAGTAATTTATTACTTCTTTGGCATTCGGAGCCCTTGAGGTTCATTGCTGCAGATATCACCCACCTCCACTCATCTCTTTGGTTGGCCTTTTCTTTCCAGTGGGTGACACAAGTGTTTTCAACTTTTACTTCTCTGTCATCTGACATTTTCTCAATATGCCCCAGCCATTTCAACCTATTAGCGCTCTTGATGCCATTGATCAATAGTGGTTTAAACAGATTATGAATTTTGTTGTTGCTTCTCACTCTTCATTCCCCGCTGTTTACATCTTTGATAGGCTCAAAGATTTGTCGTAGTACTCTGTTTTCGAAAACCTGTAATTAGCCTTCATCTCTTTCAGTATAGCTCCAAAGTAATTTGTCTCGTCACAAAACAGTAATTTATAATGGACATGTTTATTGTAAGTTTTGTTCTATTGATTCTTGATGAGGTTTGTTTTAACCTGGAAGATTTATTTCTTACTGGAGTAAGTGTTTGTGTCAGTAATTTATAGTTTTAGTGACATTTTTGTTCTTTTGGTGAAATCTGTCTAAAACCGGAATTATTTCTTACTATAGTAAATGCTTGCATCAGTAATTAATAGCTGAGTTTATTGAAATTTTTATTCTGTTGATTCTTGACGAGGTTTGTCTAAAACTTTTAAAAAAAAAAAAAATTTCTTACCAGTCAGTGTTTGTGTCAGAAGTCAGGTGTAATTGATATAGTGAGCCACGATAATGCTAAGATTAGCATTTCTGCCAGGTTTTTATCTTGCAACTTGGTTAACTCTTTGAGTCCCAGGGGGTTTAGCATCACAGGCCCAGAGGGTAGTAAATAAAGTCATAAAATCGGCGCATCATGCGTTCCTTGGGCTTCTAGGTAGGAAGCCATGAACGTAGGATGCGCTCCTTGGGCTTCTAGGTAGGAAGCCATGAACGTAGGATGTGTTCCTTGGGCTTCTAGGTAGGAAGCCATGAACGTAGGATGCGTTCCTTGGGCTTCTAGGTAGGAAGCCATGAACGTAGGATGCGTTCCTTGGGCTTCTAGGTAGGAAGCCAGGAACGTAGGATGCGTTCCTTGGGCTTCTAGGTAGGAAGCCATGAATGTAGGATGCGTTCCTTAGGCTTCTAGGTAGGAAGCCATGAACGTAGGATGCGTTCCTTGGGCTTCTAGGTAGGAAGCCATGAACGTAGGATGCATTCCTTGGGCTTCTAGGTAGGAAGCCATGAACGTAGGATGCGTTCCTTGGGCTTCTAGGTAGGAAGCCATGAACGTAGGATGCGTTCCTTGGGCTTCTAGGTAGGAAGCCATGAATGTAGGATGCGTTCCTTGGGCTTCTAGGTAGGAAGCCATGAACGTAGGATGCGTTCCTTGGGCTTCTAGGTAGGAAGCCATGAACGTAGGATGCGTTCCTTGGGCTTCTAGGTAGGAAGCCATGAACGTAGGATGCGTTCCTTGGGACTCAAAGAGTTAAGTCAAGTCAAGGACCCTTTTACACGCTTTTCAGGTGTACTGGGTGTATAAGACCAGATCTATATTTTACAGACTGAACGGCACTTGGTGGGTGATGTGGTAAGCATCATTCCGGCCACCTTTACTTCCCAGGATTGCACCTGGTACCCACTCAAGGCTGGGTCGACCTGGGAGTCAAGGTCTTTTTTTTTTTTAAAGTACGGCCCAGTCAGGACTAGGAAAAAAAATCGGACTTAATGCAAATTTGAACCCATGATGTTTGGGTATGCAGGCAAAGCATCTATCTACAACATTATGGGTAAATATCACATATAGATTGTTTCAGAACACTAGGAACCAAAATCTGGAGAGACCCAAACATCAGCATGGCACATGATGATGATAGTAACTTTCTTTATGAAGCTCAAGCTCCTGTCTCTGGTATAAAGTCAACAATAAAACAACTTATCAAAAATGATTTTATTTGTCAACAGTTTTACACTCTGTAAAACAACTAGTTTATGTACATCGTTTTAATGTGAACGTTTGCTTCACAAATGATTAGCAACGTACACGTATACACACTTCAACAGATATAATTAAAGTAGCTCCCTTCAAAGTCGGAGTGCATCTTCCTGGGAGGCAAGGAACCAACAGTCTGCATACAAATAAGCAAGTCAGTGGACTGAGTGGTCTCGAGGTATGGCGTCCGATTTGAGTGCTGGAGGTCCTCGGTTCAAGCTGGGAATTTTTCATGTGGACTTCTAGTAATTTCCCCTGGATAGTAAGATCAGACACCTGTGTGTAATGTTGCGCACGTAAAAAAAAAAAAAAACTTGGAGTTGGAAATTGAAAAATTTGGAGTTAATAACCTACCCAAAAGTATTTTAGGATCGTCGCCAGTGCTATGGAGTTCGTGTGCTGTGCTGAGATTCTTCGGACTCAGGCTTGAGTCAGAAGTAGAACGAAGCACTTATGGGTTACTAACCTCGTGCCCTGATGTTGATACATCTTCTAAACCAAACCAAGATCTGTAAAACAGATGTGCACGCAAAACTCAGGTTCTGAAACATGACTTGAGTCCAGAATTGTCTGCTAGAGCTTACAGCCGCTGAACGCGAAGAAGTAAGGATTTGCTGAAATAAGATGTGTCGACCTGAGAGGCACGGCCTAGCTGTAAACCACAACACAACAGGCCAACCTCCCTTTTAAGGGACAGCACAGAAGAAAAATATACAGTACATCTGGCCAACTATATCCAGAAGGATCACAGCAGCTAGGCTCCCTCAGGAGCATGGAACCATCTCTGCAGCCGAGAACCTCCAGTGCTGAAGCACTGTAAATGCACTTCACTACAGTTTATCGGGTCACCAGTCTTGCTGGATGAGCTGACCAGTTCTGTTACACCAGACAGTGGCTGCATTTGTTTGCTAATTTACAGACGGCAGGCACGATAACATCACGATGAGGATGCTCTTTGTCGCTTCCAAAATTTCTTGACTTCGTCATGGCCGGCTTTCGTGACGATAATGACACGTTTTTCAGCCATCTCCCATGTAAGGACTCCAATATCCTGAAACAAAATGACAACATTGAATTCAGACACCAATGTCCTGAAACAAAATGACAACATTACAATCAGACACCGATGTCCTGAAACAAAATGACAACATTACAATCAGACACCAGCAGAAAATGAAAGGATGTAACTATTTATTTTTTAAATCCCTAAATCACAATGGCTCCATATCTGGAGTTTCGAGAAAAAAAATATATTTGTAAACTTTACCATTTTACACTTTCAGGAGCACTGGGCATATAGGGCTCGACCAGTTTTTACAGACCCGAGTGGGTGATGTGGACAGCATCACACCGACCAGGGTTGTAGTTGCACTTCACTCTTATTCTTTCCTCTTCTGCCAGGGTATTTCAGTCTTGTTAGACTGTCAACATTGTTGCTAAGGATGTCAAGAGTGTTAAGCATGTAACATTGCAGACAGGACCAAAATGGGAAAGCATCTGCCTGAAAGGCAAGGCACCAACATATATCAGCAACTCAGACCCCCCAGACTTCCACATGAATAGCCATTCATTCCATTATCATAAATACACACGTCCAGCACTACGTTCTTGCGTCTGATTCAGCACAAGGTTTTTTTTTTTTTTATAACTGACCGTGACTCTCAAGTGGACAGAGCTTTAAACAGGAAAATATCCTGAGAAGGCCACTGGCTAATTATGACCCCACCATCGAGTGCCAACAGGAGGTCTAGCAGCATATTCCCAGGACTTTTTTTTGGGCGGCATGCAGCGGTACACACCTTTCTTCATTGCTAAACAGTACCGGCACCTTTTTTAAAGACACTTTGAGTTGTGTTTAAAAAAAAAGTTGGTTGCATATCCTTCTTCTTCGCATTCTCCAGCTGTAAACTCTGGGGGAAAGTTCTGGTTGTTCATCCACTTTTGGACTGCAGTCCTGTTCCAGAACCTGAGTGTTGTGTGTGCATTTGTTTTACAGATCTGACTCATTTGTGTGCAGACTGCTGGTTTCTTGCCTCTCAGGCAGATGCACTCTGACTTCAAAGGAAGCTCCTAATTTAGTCCACTCTTACGACATGCTTTTGGGAGGGCAGTGGTCTATTCTTGATTTCCCTATAATAGGGCCCCAGAACCCACACAGAATAGTTGTGTATCCTTTACAGGACATTGCAGAATCCACCCTATTTTTTTGCTGTTGTGGTTTTCTAGGCAAGTTTATATCCAGTAGTTGTGCTTGTACCAGCACCTTTTGTATGTGTCCTAGAACAAAAACACCTGCATATGTCTGGTTGGTAACTACGTAAATATGGCCCTTTAGGTACTGCCACTCCACCACAGACCCCAATAAACAAAGAATAAAAATCACCTTGGCATAATTGCGCAGAAGTTCAAAGTCTGACTGCGACAGGAACTGGTTGTACATGACACCATCGGAAAATTTGAAGCGGTCTCGCTCCAGCTCCCACAGTTTGATCTGGTCGCTGATTGTGGCTGGAATAACTGGGTTCTGCCAGAGAGCAACAAATAAAATAAACATCATGACACCACAGGAAAATATAACGCTGCTGTGTTTAAAAAAAAAAAAGAGGTGTTCATTCGGTGACCATTAAAACTTAAGAACAGAAAAAAATAATATTAATTAAAACTCCCAACTAAATACAAACAGAAATTCACTTATTATACTTCCTGTGGATTAGTGGTGAATTGAGAAGTGAAGAAAAAATGCTGGCGTTGGACAGGGCACACACTGAGAAAAGCGAGAACAATATGACTAGAAGGGCTTTACACTAGAACCCCAAGTGAAAAACAAATAAAGGCAGACCAAAAAACACACAAAGAGAAGAGGACTAGAAGGTGAAGCTAAAACAATAGGGAAGGAGCATGGGATGAGCCGCTTGTGACAGCAAAGGGCAGACTTGAATTAGTTGAAGGTCTATGCTCCATTGGGGGACAGAAATCGGAAGAAGATCAGGGTAAGAATCTTTTTTTTTCTCCCTGCCAAAGGCCTTTTGAACATTAGATAGCTCTATTCAAGAGTCATAAAAAAATTATAAACTTCACTTGGCCCAACACTGTATTGCCAGAAAAGCCAACCCGAGCAATAAATGTCCGAAGCTGGTGTGTTTTCAGACAGGTGCAAATACCGCAGCTATGCTGTAAATGACCACAATGCGTGTAATAGAAACTCCACCACGGAGCTAGCACAACAACAGTCTTCTGACCATCAGAAGAAGTCCTCATTCTCTGATTATCTGTACCCATTTACATCATGAAATGAAAGCAGGAGAAGAAGAAACCTGTATTGATGTTTGCCTTGGTAAGGTCGGACCAAATGATTTCGTATGCCTTATAAGGTCATCAGGCTTGCTGTTTCCCTCCCCTGTTGTAGATTATAATTATGTACCTGGCGTAGCTGGCATTCAATATTCTTTCAGCCCAAACAATGCATGCTGAATTAAGAACCATTTAACATGCTCGAGGTTTTGACATGGTCTTCTGTCAATCCCACCCAACATACTAAAAACAAATTTGGCTTCCAAAGTATTCAGCTTCTATTTTAAAAAAAGACATGGTTTGTCCTACTGGTCAGTAATACATATGGGTATCTCCTGCAAAAACTGTTTGGTACTCATATATATAAAAGCAATGCAGACATGGTTAGACTACTTTGACACCAATGTTCAGAAAGACTGGCCAGGATGCAGCAGCACTGAACTACATCTGACAAAGCACCAGGACTAGACAGGCTCAGACTGGTCCAGACCTATATATACACCGCCTCAGCCATCCTAAAAAACAGGTTCACATTCGGGGGAGCCTGGCCAGCACTGACAGGATTGACGTTCCCTTCTGAGCTGGACTGCATCTGCCAGAAAGGCAAGGAACCAACACTCTGCACACAAATAAGCTAAATCTTTAAAACAGATAGGCACGCAAAGTTCAAGTTCTGGAATAAGACTAAAACCCAGAAAAGACACAACAACCAGGACCTTCCACTGGAGTTTACAGCTGGTGAACATGAAGAGGACAAAGAAAGATGGGCAAAATGAACTATTATTACTGCAGGAAATGATTGATCAAACAGAAACAATCATACTCACATTTTTCAACATCTCCGGGTGAGCATGACTTCTCAAGAAATGAAGAATCTGAATAAATGACAAATGTGCAATAAATAAATGCATCAGAACATTCAGGTCATAAAATTGTGTTAATTAACTAATAAAACAAATTAGTTGAATGGTGAATTATGAATTGACATCACAGCATTCAGGACATTCCCTTAAACACTTGTCCCCATCTTCAGCAGCAAGTGCAGAGTGCCTATTCCAATGGCATCAGTAACTGATTGAATATATGTCTCACCTTTCCCCTGAGTGTTGAGTGTCATCCAGCATCCCCTGGTCCCTCCTCACACCACCATTCCCCTCAGACCATGATGATCTCTGTTTGTGCAACTGCACTGTTCACTCACTCCATAAGGGCCGGTTGTCATGCAAGAAGTCACTATCAAGCAGTGCAAAACCAGCCAATTTATCTGCCTATTGATTTCCCAACACACTAGCATTACTTGGAGAACAGTCCAAAGGACGCTAACTACACGGTTCCTCTGAAGTGATGCTTACCACCACTCAGCATCAACCTGCCTGTTGATTTCCCAACACACTAGAACTACCTAGACAAAATATCCGAATGACGCTAACTACACGGGACCTCTGAAGTGATGCTTACCACTCAGCAAACAGCACACCTGTCTCCACCTTTCTTAACATGCTCTGTGAAGAGGTCGGGGCCTCAACACATAATATTCACAGAGACATTAGTAGTTACACTGCAACCAACCTTCACTCTGGAGATGGTACAGTATTATAATTTTAAAAAATAGTACTTACATCCCTTGATTAAAACAGAAATGAGAGTTACCTACCTGTTCAGCAGTTATGCCCCTTGCTAGTGCTGCTCTAACACTTGTCCTAGTTAAATTTGCGACCAACATATTTGGGAACCTGCATGATTGGCAACAAGAGAAGAACACAGTTAATCAATCAGTCAGCAGTATGTCCTTTGCAGAACCCTGCTCCCATAACAACCCTCCAGAAAACTTCTTGATCACAAGCAAGATGTCCTGCGTCCGATACACCCATCTAGACATCATCGGCCACATCCTGCACCCATCTTCTCTTTGACCTTCCCTCTTCCTAGACATATACCCCTCCATTATTTTTCTCTCCAAACTTTCGACAGTCGATAATAATTTTTTTTTTAAATGTGTGATCTCTTCACGGACAAACGCCAGCGGCGCTAAAGTTCAAATTTAAAAGTCGAGAAGATCGACTTAACTCTGCACTGGCTTTTATCCATTATGGCTAGGTCTCTTTTTGAATGATTAGGCACAAAAAGCACACAAAAATTGTTTATGTGAACCAAGAGATGTAATCCGTGAAGCGAACACAAACCTTTAGAGAGCTAAGTTAACACCCTGACCGCTTTGCACAAATGGCTTTGTTATTTCTCTTGGTACTAATCTAAAGTGGGACATTATACACATACACCCAATTACATATACAAACACACCCAATCACAATCATACACATCCACCAACAAACATAAAAACACACCCAATCACAATCATACACATCCACCCACAAACATATAAAAACATACCCACTCAGAATCATACACATCCACCCACAAACATAAAAACACACCCACTCATAATCATACACATTCACCCACAAATATATAAAAACACACCCACTCACAATCTTTCACATTCACCCACAAATATATAAAAACACACCCACTCACAACCATATACACACAATCATTCACATCCACCCACAATCATACAACGCACACTCATAAAAATCCACTCACAAACATATAAAAACACATTCACATACAAACTCACACAGGCACCAGCTTACCTGTACAATGTTTCACTGAACAAGGCCAGCAGCGCCACCTGCAGGGGAGAGTCTGTGTAGGCATAGATTCTGTAGTTCGTTTCCACGACTATAAAACCAGGTCGATGAGTGTCGATGTTTGTTTTTGATAAGCCAGATGCGATATTTACAACAAGCCGTGTTGGGTAATAGCGATGAGATTTCCGCTGTGAGAAGATTAAAATCAATTAGGATTACATCCCATATCTTCTTCTTCTTTTTTCACCCGCTGTAAGCTCTGGCAGAAAGTCCTGGTTGTTCATCTATTTGGACTTTGTGCTAGTTTTGTATGTACGTGCGTTTTACTGGCTTGTGTGCTGGTTGTTCCTTGCCACACGGGCAGATGTACTTCGATTTTGAAGGAAGTGGCCAATTAATTCGACTGCTAAGACATGCTTGTTGGGGACGCAGTGGGCCTATTCTCATTTTCCAAACAATAAGGACACCAGAACCAACACAGGTATGTCCCATATCAAACTACTTAGTATATTCCTGTGCGTGTTCTGGGGCTCCATTGTTAGGGGGTGAAAAAAAGAAAAAAAAAAAGAATAGAACCACTGCCTCCCTAAAAGCAAGTTGGAGGAGTCGACTAATTTGGAAATTGGTTCGCGGTCGGAAAGCATCTGCCTGAGCGGCAAGGAATTACCAACTGCACATAAAGAAACCAGTATAAATTGTATACACACAAAACTCAGACCCTGGCACAAAGTTGAAGTGGACGAACAACCAGGACTTTCCACGGGTGAACAAAGGAAGGAAATGCTAAGTTATCAACCATAAGAACTTTCAACATCAGCCCTGCTGACTAGGGTCGGGTATCCTGCCTCTCCACAACCCGCTATCTTAAGCAGCATGTACCAATTTATGCAGTAAAACAAAAGTCTATCAAGAAGGGGTCCCTCACATACCTTTCTCTGGTACACCAAGCCAAACTCCCGTAAATGTTGCAGAAACCGCAGCTGATTCTCACTCATCTCCTCTGTGCAGTAATCCTGGATTGAAAACGGACAAATGACGGCAGTTCAAATAAATGAAGAAATATCAACTACAGCAATGAGCAAGCAAACTACACTAATGAGCAAATAAACTAGACGACAGAAAGCAGTTTAGATTAGTGAACAAATAAACTAGACTAAAGAAGAAACAAACCAGACTAATGAACAAACTACAGTAATAAATAAACAAACAAACAAGACTACTGAACAAATCAGACAGTAAGCAAACTTGACTACTGAACAAATCAGAGACAGTAAGCAAACTTGACTAGTGAACAAATCAGACAGTAAGCAAAGTGGACTAGTTAACAAACTAGACTAATGAAAAACAAAATACTGCAATGAGCAAAAAAAAATAGACCAATGAAAAAACAAATTACCGCAATGAACAAGCATGCTACCGCCAGGAACAATCAAACTAGACTAATAAATAAACAAACTAGACAAATGAAAAAATAAACGATCACAATAAACAAGCAAACTACCACAATGAACAAACTAGACTAATAAACAATCAAACAAGACTAATGAACGAATAAACAAGACTAATGAAAAAATCAGACAGTAAGCAGACTTGACTAATGAACAAACTGGACTAATGAAAAACAAAATACTGCAATGAACAGACAAACTAGACAAAAGAAGGAACAAACTAGACTAACAAACAAACAGACTAATGAACAAAAAAACTAGAGCAATAAACAAACAAGCTAGACAACTGAATGAACAAACTAGCCTAATAAACAAAGCGAACACAACATCTAGCATGAGAAGGAGGTGGAGGCGATAACTGCGGCTATCCGGTGGCTAGAGAACAAGATGCATACACATGTTGTAATTGTAACAGACTCTGAAAGCATGGCTGAAAAAGGTGAAGACAGGGATGCTTCGAGCAGAGTGGCAAGCTTCACTGAAAAGGTCGCGGGTAGTGAGCATACCTTGGATCTTTTTTCCAGGCAATGCCGGCATGGTGGGTAATGAACAGGCATACAGATTGGCTGGATCTGCACCACTGGGTGGTGAATTGATACACGACAAGGCAGATGTGGTCAAAGCCCTTTGGGAACAAGCAACAAAATCAGTAGAGAAAGAAGATTATTATTGCCTGGAGAGAATGAGGCGCCTGGATGTAACCAGAGGGTCAAGCCGGCTGACTATACTCAGAGGAAAGACAAGACAGACTTTTAACCAGATTGTGACCAGTACCATCAGTATTGGAACTCTGCGCTGGCTGCTGAAGATGAGGGCGGAGTTGCATGGAAATGCCCAGAATGCTGTGATGTCAATTCTTAACTCAACTCAACTCAAACAAAGCTAATGAACAAACAAACTAGACTAATGAACAAACAAACTAGACTATTGAATGAACAAACTAGACTAATGAACAATCTACAGTAAAGAACAAATAGACTAATGAATAAACAAACGAGACTAATTAACAAACAGACTAGATTATTGAACAAACAAACTGCAATTATTTAAAATGACTGAACTGGAATTATTTTCCAGTCTTGCATAATTCTATCCCTCCTACGTAACTGTATAAAACACAGAAGACAAAGATTTAATTGCATTGTACCCGTTTACAACATGGTCGTGATATTTCCACCTATTGGTCGTCCAGCTTTATCAGGCATTTGCTGCCCAATAAACCCTCCCAGGGAATGTGATTAACATTTAACAATTAGCATAATAAGTCACATCATAATGATTTTTTCTAAGAATCATCTAATTACCTTGCCGAGCGTGGAGAAGTTCAGTTGAAACAAAAACGTCAGGCATTCAACCAGACTGAGATTTCGAGACTGTGGGCAGCAGAAAAGTTATCAGGTTATTTTCATATGAAAAATGTGATCCTACTTTTTATTTAATAACTTCAAAAGTGCAATTTAAATACATGAAACAAAGTTAAGAACTTTTCTATACTGCTTGCATTACAGTTCTGGATCATACACTCTGAAATGACTTTTCTGACAGGCATTTTTAAGTAGGTGGTGCTGTTACGGTCAGGGCACACCCAGTTATATGGCTTTCACTGGACAGGTGTTTTAACCGAGAGTTGTCATCTAGCAGTATAATTCGAGACTCCAACTGGAACATTCCAGAGTATGCAGTCTTTTCAGTCCCTCACATGGTATTGATGATGTCTTTCCTTTCCATAAAGGCTGGTTACCCACCTTGAGCACACTTTCTTAAACTTCAATTAATCATGCATTATGTGTGCCGAACCACGTGAGCACTCTATTGCAGCTGCTACAGAGCCAACTGATACTCGCCTGTCACCTCTAATCATCTTCTTTGTCCGCTACAGAAATGCATCTTCTGGAATCTCAACTGGGCAACCAGATCGGACTTCATCAACAATTGTACAGCATCCTTGAGAAACCTTTTTTTCCCCAGCTGAGCACAGCTTCATGGGATTAACACTTGTCAGCATAAACAGGAAGCATTTCCTTATAAAAATCCTTTTTTGCCCTACCCTTGCCCCCCTTTCCCCCCCAAAAAAAATGCACAATAGCATGTTGTTCTTTGAGGGTATACTCTGTAAGTACAGCCAACATTTTGTTTGTGTGCTGTGAATGTGCATGCAACATCTAGCGCCACCTAGTAAATGGAGAGGTAAAGTTCAATGTTGCTGTCACCTTATGGCACCTTTAGAAACCCCCAACTACATTTTCCTGCCGTCCCCTAACCATTTGTGACCTACTTATTGACTTTCCCTCGTAAATTTGGCTCATGAGCTTCACTCATGTTCCTAATGAAATTTTACAGAAATTTTCACCCATGCATTGGGGGGTGGGCTGAGGGCAGCCAGAGGATTTCTCGGCACTTCATCTCTGGGAGCCACAAACCCTGAGATCCCATGCCATCTGAGTCATTATCTATGTGACTAATTTCAGTCACAATGGTCTCAACTTCCCCTTCAGGCCTCCTGTGATTTCAACAGGGTTCATAGCCAAATTTACCAATCAATTTCAAGGCTTTTCAAGGTCTTTTTCAAGGTCTCCTTAGTTTTTTTCAAGGTTGTCTCGGTGTAATACTAATACAAGATTTTTGCCTTGTTCAAGGGTGTACTGAGCACACAAGGTACTTCATTTGTGCCACATGTGTTGGTATACCAGCACAGATATCATCATCATGTAGCATTTCCTTTGTCCTGACAAAAAAACCTCGGTCTCTCACCAGCTCTCCCGCCTCATGTACTTTTTTATACTCAAGGAGTCACTTATATCCTGTGCCCATCTTTGTGTTGGTCGGCCCCTGAGCTTGATATAGTGTCTGAATTTTTTTTGGGGGGCTTGGTGGTAGAGGGCAGCAAACTGAAGTCCTATCTGTTCTGGACCTGAGAGGGTTAGGGGAGAGAGAGAGAGTCATGAAGAGAGAGGAAGACACATGCTGAGGAAAGCTGGGAGAGACAGTGTAAAGATGGACAGATGAAGGTAGAGAAAAGAAGGAAAAAAAGTCTGGGGAAGGAGGAAAAAATGAGAGGGAGGGATGGAGACATGATGAGGAAAAGTGGGGAAGGGACAGCGAAAGACAGAGAGGGAGACAAATACAGAAAGAGGGAATGCAGATACAGAGATGGGCAGATGAAAAGAGAAGGAAAAGGGGAACGAAACAGAGATATGGAAGGAGGAAAATATGACAAAGAGTTGAAAGAAGGGAGACAGAGGGAGAGAGAACGGACAGGGTGAGAAGCAGATGCAAGCAGAGAGAGATGTAGACATAAAGGAGAGAGAGACAAAGGGACAGCACAGAGAGGCAAGCAGACAGAGGGAGAGAACCAAAGAAAGAGAAAAAAGGCAGAGCAGGAGAATGGGAGGGAGTTATACAAAGAGGAAGTGATGAAGGGAGGCAAACAGACATAAAGCAAGAGAGAGAGAGAGAGAGAGAGAGAGAGAGAGAGAGGTGGGTAAGGAAGGCAGTGACAAACACAGATTAAGAGAGAGGGGCAGGAAGGGAGACAAGATACATCAAAGAAAAAAAACAGCCACTACTCCCCCCCCCCCCCCCCCCACACAATTTCAAGTGTAGTGGACACAACCACTAGGAAAAGATATTTATGGGGCAAAAAAATACATAGATAAACCAGTAAAAAAAATGGGGGGGTGGGGGGGGGGAGAAAATGAGAGAGGGGAGCGGGTAAGGAAATCTAGAGAAAATGAAAAGACAGGATGGAGAGGAGACAAAGAAGAGATGGGACAGGAGAAAGGGCAAGGAAAGGAAGAGAGGAAGAATGGAAAGAGAAAGGAGAATAGTAGAAGATCAAAGGAAAGAGAAGGGGTGAGAGAAGAAAGGTAAGACACGGTTGTGTGGGGGGGGGGGGGTGTAAGAACAATGAGTGCCAAAAATAGAATTAGGAAATCTCTAAGTGAGGCCACTTTTCCCGGTTCCTACCCTCTCCCAATGTGAATGTGGCCTTGGTCCAAAAACAACAGTGCTAACCCCTACTGCCCCTTGCTTGTCCTATCTGTGTGTGACAACAATAATTCAATTTCTTACACTTAAGGCTGGTGACCTGAGAGCCAAGGTCATTTTATGAAGAAAAAAAAAGTCCAGGGGGTCCCAACCCACCACTGGTGGAAAATAGAGAAGTTTACCCACACACATAAATAGGTCAGACACATAAATAGGTCAGGGCAGCAGTGGACTTCGTTTTATTTCTGGTTTTCCAATTACAGAAAGGAGGGGAGAGGGGAGGTGGTGGAAAGTGGTGTAGAAGGCTGAGGTGGTAAGGGTGAGACAGAGGAGGTGAGAGAATAAAGTTTAAGAAAATAAAGTGGGAATGAAACAGGGAGAGAAAGAAGGGAGTAAGAAATAAGATGAGATATAGAGGGAAGAAGGTAGCAGGAAGGGGTGCACTCCCTTCCCTAGGTGTCATCAATGTGGGAGGAGAAAAAAAAGGGGGGGGGTGACGGCAAATGTGTTTTTAAAAGTACACATATATTTAATGTGTGGGAGGGGGGAATGGTGGACATGAAATGTTCTGCACTAGGCAACACATAACCTTCTACACCAACTGAAGGTATGGAGAAAGAAAGAGAGAGAGAGAGAGAGAGAGAGAGAGAGAGAGAGAGAGAGTGAGGGAGAGTGGCAAATACAAAGAGAAAGAGAGAGAGGAAAGCAGTGACACAGACAGGCAGAGAGTGAGGAACAGGTAGGACAAAATGTGAGGGGGCGGGAAGGGAGATGGACAGAGATTAAGGCCCCTAGGAAAACAAACACATCAAAAGAAAATATCCACCATGTTCACACAGAATGCCCCCCCCCCAAAAACAACTTCCTGTGTACTTGAGTTGCTAGGAAGAGTTATAGAGCCGCACATTTACTAAACATTTAAACAAGAAATAAAATAGGAAAAGGGGGAGGGGGGACAGGAAATGAGAGAGTAAAAGGAAAGATAGAGAGAAAGAGAAGAAGATGAAGATCAGAAGGGAAGGTTAGAGACAATGCAGGAGACGGGAAGGAGCAATAGGTAGAAGAGTGAAAGAGGGAGGGAAGAGAGAGAGAGGGGTGAGACAACAGAAGAGGGAATCTCGGGGAATTACAATTCTGATCGCCAAACACACTGTAAAGATAAATCCAGGCCAAAAATAGAACTGGGAAATCCAGCTGCAGTCACTTTGCTTAGCCCCAATGCCAACTCTAATTAATAGAGAAGGCCGTGCTTAGCCCCCACCACGGCGACTCTATTTATAAATACAACTGAACCGAGCCCCACCATCTCCCAATGTAATCCTTTCTAGAAACCACGGCCATAAACGATTTAAACTGTTCATTCTGCCGGACTCGCTAGAAACAAAGGCACACACGCGCGCAAGACGGAAGCTGCTACTTCCCGCCCCATGCCACACCGCTGCTGCCTGCATGTTTTCATGATCAGCAACAAAGCCCGCCCTCCCCTGGCCTTTAACAAGCCATTTCGGCTGAAAATAGCCAATAATCAGCTGATCTCACACCTGAAACGACCATACAACGAAAGTAGCCAAAAACTAGCCAAATGGCCAAAAAAGCCAAATTGCTCCCCCAAAATTGCCTGTGCTGAAAAACACAGGATTTCTGACGATTTCATTGCCGCGGTCAAAATTCACGGGTTTTTAAGGTCGGAATGTCTTTTATAAGCTAAAAATCCCGGTTCAAGGTCAACGAAAAAAATCCCGGTAATTTCCCGATTTCCCGGTCCACTACGAACCCTGTTTCAATCATCATGCCACAAAAGCTAATCAATACCAACTCTGGTTGGCTGAGTTGGATGCAAGCGCAGTCAAGCCATGAATCTCTGACAGCTTTCATCTCTTTCTTCAGTACTTTGGTTTCTGATGATCTTCAAACCAAAGGTTTATCAAGCGGCTGCACAAGTTTATCAAGAGGTCACAGAAGTTTATCAAGAGGTCACAGAAGTTTATCAAGAGGTCACAGAAGTTTATCAAGAGGTCATAAAGTTCATACAAGAGGTCACAAAGTTTATACAAGAGGTCACAGAAGTTTATCAAAAGGTCCCATAAGTTTATTGAGAGGTCACTGACAGTTCATCAGGAAATCAGGCAGGTTTATCAAAAGGTTGCAAGACTTTACCAAGAGGTCACAGACGTTTATCAAGAGGTAACAGATGGCTCGGAACATTTCCTACCTGAACAGTCTCCAGATACTGTAGCAGAAAGAACCACACCTGGGACGATGTGTCCAGCAACAAAAACTGGAATCCTTCCGCTGTGATTGACGGTTCTCCTTCATCTCTGTTAAGACATTTTCACACACAAAGATTTAGCAGTCGATCAATCAAGTAATAAATAATCCATAAATTCATCATAAAAGAGAAAATCAGTGGCCCAAGAGGCGAAGAAAAGATGCTGACGTTGGACAGGACACACGCTGAGAAAACATGAGAACAATATAACTTGAATGTCTTTGCACTAGAACCCACAGGGATTTAAAATAAAGGAAGACAAAAAAACACACAGAGAAGGGAGACAGAGTGAAGAAAATAATGGGAGAGGCCATGGGGAGAGCAGCATGCGATAATGAAGGATAGAACGACTTGGCTTGAGGGCGTATGTCTCCACTGAAGTTAGAAAGCTGAAGAATAAGAGGAGAAAAGATTTAAAAAAAAAATTAATGAATCCGTTCATAATCTTAAAAATTATTTCTTTCTAAATATTTCTTAAATAATTTATCTTTATCACAGGAGATTGATTTAACATTTACAATCATGGACAAGTTATTTCAAAGCAGAGACTAACCATCAGGGCAAAACAAATTTCAATGGACACAGCTCCTGGGGAAGCCAGATTAAATTAGTATGCCCTGACCAAATCTAAAACAGAATTAATATGCCATAGCAGGAAAACAAAGAATTATACACAAGTGGGGTAGAAGAAAACATTACTTGTTGAGATTCTTATTCTCTGCGTTCATACCAGCGTAAAGTCCTGGTTATTCGTCGTCCACACCAGGAACCGAGTTCTGCGTATACATACATTTTACTGGCTGAATTGTCTGCAGTGCTGTTCCCTACCTCTCGGGCAGATGTACCCCGATTTTGAAGACACCAATGAGATTAAAGTCAGACTGTCAGGACACCAGAAATATCAAGAAACTGAAAGGAAAGGTAGTGCAGAAGTATGCAAGATAATCACAACACTGAAGGTTAGTGGACAATATCAAGAGATGGACTAGACAATTCTAACAGTTCATTGTGAGGATACATGCAGAGGCTTTTTAGACATTCACAACAGTGGAGAGGGGGGGCTGCCTAGTCTCAAGGAATGTGGTCCACCTCGAGTGCTGTAGGATTCAGGTTCAATCCCCGGTAAGAGCTGGGATTTTTTCACGTGGACTTGGACTTCTAGTAATTCCTCCTGGTCTCTGGCTAGTGAGATCGGACACCCGTGTGCATTGTTACGCACATAAAAAAATCCCTTGGCAGTTGGAAATCAAAAAGAGTAGCTTAATGACACTGCCTGGGCAAAATTTGGAGTTAAAAATCTACTTAAAGTATGTCAGGATCTTCGCCGGTGTTACAGACCCTGAGCATTGAGCTGAGCTTCTTTGGACTCAACTTGAGTTAGAAGAAAAACGGAGCACTTATGGGTTACTACCCGTTTGCCATGATGTTGGTCCGTTGTTCAAAACCTCAAAACAGTGGATTTTAGATGCCTTATGTATTGAATGCCTGTGTATGTTATTAATTTTGGTTGAGACTGCAGCCTGTTTCAGTTTTGTTCACAAGGGAAGGGACAGCAGCAAATAATCTGTGGAGTTTCCACTGGCACAATAATGGAGCGACTAAGAGGTCACCAATCTGCAACAAAGTTTGAACTACACGTTAACTGATAAACAATTGATTTTCAATGCAGGCACAAAAAAGGCACTTCATTCATCAGAGATAAAGAAAAACACAAACATGTGAGTCTGCAACAGAAAACTTTTGAGAAGGAAGAAGAAATTTATACAAAAATATTTTTCAAGTACTAGCAGTAGAAGAAATAGCAGACAGCAAGCAGGAAAAAAAGTGAAAGAAAAATAAGATGAAGGAAAAGATCCAATAAGAAAACAAAATATACAAAAATCTAGCTGACTTACATGGCCATGAGCCCACTGTGCAGTAACACATCTGTGATGTCTTTGTTAACTCCATCTGTTCCCTCGGTTGAGCCAACCATGAAATGCAGCACACACTATCGATGAGTTAACAAATGTTTTAACAGTGATAATGTCATGAAAAGTTAGTTAGTTCAAGATCCTCTCTGGGACACTACAAATTAACCCTCGCATATGTTGCTGTTTGTGAAATTTTGTAATGAAGTTTTGTGTTCAGTACTTCTTCTTCTTCTTCGCGTTCACCAGCTGTACACTCTGGCGGAAAGTTCTGGTTGCTCGTCCACTACTGAACTGCAGTCCTGCGCCAGAACCTGAGTGTTGCGTGTGCATCAGTTTTACAGATCTCATTCTCTTGAATACTGACTGTTGGTTCCTTGCCTCTCCGGCAGATGCACTCCGACTTCAAAGGAAGCTCCCCAATTAGTCGACTCTTACGACATGCTTTTGGGGAGGCAGTGGGTCTATTCTTGTTTTCCCCACAATGGGGCCCCGGAACCCACACGGGGTTGTGTTCAGTAGTTTTCCAGTGCAGAGCACACCTGTCTCCACACACTCTGAGTCAGCTACAGTCACGACCTGTGCGTGCAGCTGGTTCTCAAGCCAGCAGAAGGCTGCTGTGGCTGCCTCCACCTCCATTTAGTTGATGTGGTATATGCCAGGCCTCACTGCACTAAGCGATGCCCATTCGCTTTTGCTCCGAACCCCCATGCGCTTCTTCTCCCTGTCAACACACAGCCACATGTATAGATAATCTCATCACCTCGGAGGGAACTGTTTTAAAATTAATTATTGAATTTCTGATTCAGCAAAGCCTGCTGGCCAGTCCCTGCACTCAAAGCCCAGTGTGTTTTTTTCACAAGTCTGACTGTTGATCGAACCGTTTGACCCCCCCCCCCCCCCCCCAGCCTAATATTATTAAGCCTGCACACATATCTAATTGTGTCTTCAGCAAGTGCCAAGTTAACAAGCCATCGGTTCTTCTTCTCAAACTACCGGGTCTTAAGCAGACGTTAGCAACCAACACTCTCCACTCCCATGTGACCTGATATTTTCATGAAGTTGTTGGTGCACATTTTATTTATACTTGCCATAATATGTCAGTTTTAGATATATTTTGTTCACTGATTAATGAGGTGAGATAAACACATATCTTCCTCCTTTTCTAATGCTCATATTACATAGCTTGTATCACTGTCCCAATTTGGCTCACCTCCCATCTGTCCAGTGCATATTTGTCCAAAAAAGGAATGTCTTTTGAGTATTTATCTGGTGTCAGATCCTTGTGTCCAATCCATGGGGCACCTCTGGAAAAAGAAGATAAGAAATATATATAAATTGAATACACATTTTTAAAAAAAGGAAGAAGATAGCAAAAGTATACAAATTGAATACACACACACACATATATATCTATCTATACATATATATATAAAACCAATGGTATATAAACTGGATAGTATACAAAACAAGACACTGTAATGGAAAATCCTTTGCTAGCGCACACAGCTCACCCCGTGTCTTCTCCATTTTTTAACTTTACCATCTTGTTCTCTTTTCCATGTGTTCTTTGGTCTGTCTTTTTTCCTAAGCGCCTGTGGGTTCCCGGGTAAAGACATTTACACTCGACTCATCTCCGCACCATCCTGGCAGGCACTCGACTCATCTCCGCACCATCCTAGCAGGCACTCGACTCATCTCCGCACCATTCTTACAGGAAATGGACTCATCTCCGCACGATCCTAGCAGGCACTCGACTCATCTCCGCACGATCCTAGCAGGCACTCGACTCATCTCCGCACCATCCTAGCAGGCACTCAACTCATCTCGGCATCATCTAGTAGGCACTTGACTCATCTCAGCAAGGTAAAGTCAGGCTACATGTTCATTTATTAATTTTGTATTTGTGTATTTTGGTATATTTATTAAGCAGTGTTTAAATTATTTTATACAGCTCCGTCAAAGTATAATTTGCCAATAACAACATTATTTTTTTCACAGAAACGGATTAATTTTTCTCCCTTTATTCCTTTTATGAAAATGTGATTGGTAAACGCCCTGTTTGGTTTAAGCCCAAGGATCTGGAATGGATTAAGGACCTTTACCAAGGGACCACTGTAGTCTTCTTCTTCTTCCCTCCTTCTGTCAGAAAACTTATTTCAGAAGGCTAGTAACCCAGAGGAAGGCTGCCGTGCAGTCCAAATCTTCCTGCATATCATACAGCTTTGTCTTCAAATGGGAACAGGCCAGATGGCTTCTCTGTTAGCAGAACACAGTCTGTAGTATTGGAGTACATGCTCAGAATTTTCAGTCGGGAAAAAATCTCTATGTTTCTTATATCGAAATACTTGAATATATGTTGGTGAAGCTGTTTGTGCCTTGTCCTTAGGCTGAACATGACAAATTGTACTTCCCATGTGGGTGGGTAGACCCACTCCCCCTAACATGCACGTTGCAAGAGTCATTAGATATGTTTCCGTCAAAGTCGGAGCGCATCTGCCTGAGAGGCAAGAAACCAACAGCCTGCATCAAAATAAGACAAATCTGTAAAATATATGTGCATGCAAAAGTCAGGTTCTAGGTCAAGAGTAATGACCAAAAGTGGATGAACAACTACAGCGTGCCGCCGGAGTTAACAGCCAGTGAACGCGAAGAAGAAGAATCGAACACCTCATAGAAGATAAGGACACAGACTTAAGCTGCAATAACAAAATGTTTCACAACACAATGTTTCTTGTGAAAACCTATCATTTTTTTTTTTTAATTACATTTACAAGATTAATGTTACTGTAATAAGTATAGATGCAGAAGCATGTATGCTAGCGAATCTTGGAATGTCACTGAACAAATTAAGAAGAATCTGGAAGCAACAGAGATATGGTTTCTGAGACAAATATTACCAATACCTTGGACGGCCAGAGTAACTAACAACCATTGCTTGAAAGAAGCTAATGAAAGTAGATCTGTATATGCAACAATAAGAAAGAGACAAACACTGTTCTTTGGCCATGTAATGAGAAAAGAGACATTGATAAACATTGTGACAACTGGAAAGATCAGTGGAGAAAGGGGTAGAGGCAGACCAAGAGCGATGATGCTGGATCGGCTGAAACAATGGATTGTGGTGATATCAAGAGAGCTGTCCCAGGCAACCAGAGGTTGTGATCAGTGGAGATGCATTAGTGCCTACACCAGTTGACAGGGCACATGATGATGAATAAGTATAATTTAGCGCCGCATTTTGTGCAGTCAAATATTATAACCATGTACACTTACAGTGGCAGTTTGGAAAGCCCTGGTCTAGGCAAACTAAAACCAACTTTAAAATGCAAACATTTCAGGCTTACCCTCCCAACAATGCTGTCCTGAAATTGGCTCTAAATACAGGATTTAGGATCCATCCAGGCATGCCACCTGGAAGGGGTTGTTCAAACCAAACTCGAAGCTCTACCAAGGCCGCCGCTGCTTCCAACTGTTCGCTGGTTAAAAAAAAAAAAATATATAAATATACAATAATACCTTTTATTTTCATTTAGTAGTATGTACCAGTAAGTTTCAAAGAAATAATGCAATCATTACCATCAAGTGCCTTTCCAACTGGCATAGACGATCATGCCTCTCTACAATCAGCTATCTTCAACACCTTCTTCTTCACGTTCACCGGTTGTAACCTCCAGTGGAAAGTTCTGGTTGTTCGTCTTATTCTGGACTTAAGTCTTGTCCTAGAATTAGAGTCTGACTTGAACATCCCTTTTGCAGATCTCGTCTTATTTCTAAGCAGCCTACTGGTTCCTTGCGCCTAAGGCAGATGCACTCAAACTCTGAAGAAAGCACCCCTTATCAGTCTGCATTTACAAGATGCTTCTTGAGGAAGGGGGCCAGGGGGCCAGTAGGTCTATTCTTTTTCCCCCAATGGTGCACAAGAACCCACGTGGGAAAATTCAATAATAAATATATTTTTCTGAAAAAAAAAAAGTTTTTATAGTAATAAAACTGATGATGATGGAGGATGGTACGGTCGAAACAAAGAGAAATAATAATAATGAAAAGAAGAAAAGGAAAAAGAAGAATCAGAAGAAGATATGGGCAACTCACACAACTGGTGCCGTACTCCATTGCTGAACCACTGCCTGTGCCACAGCTTGTTCCACAAACAAAATTCGCATGACATAGTACCTGGACAGTTCTGGCAAATCTCTATAAAACAGAATGAAAATATATCAAACCAAATGACACACAGAACCTCGCAGTTTTACAATATCACAGACAAAAATGACAAGTAAACATTGTGGCGAGAGCCTTTATCAACAAATTACATCAATCTACAAAACCACCAGCAGTGTGAACAAGATATGCAAGACCACTTAACTGACATATTTGCGACAGAAATCCCTTCTGTCAGGTCAGTAGAATATCTGAAATGTGTGTGGCCACCAGAAATAAATGCTGGCTAGAAAAAGCCATGAGTTACAAGGACAGTAACTAAAAGATATTATACTAAATTGTGCTGGATGTTAAGTCCCCTAGGTGAATTGGCGCCCATGAGAGGGATAAGGTGGTTCTCAAGAGAATTCAATGAAAGAGTTGAGTTGATTCAAGAACCGACATCACAGCACTCGGGGCATTCCCATAAGCACATCGTCCCCATCTTCAGCAGCCAGCGAAGAGTTGTGAGCCATGTGGCTCAAGTTATATGTGTTTGTTAAGTCTGAAAAGCCCAGCACATAAATAACAAATCGTTACCAGGTCTGTTCTATTCAGGCATTTGATGAATTTTGTTTCATGGTTATTTCTAGTGTTTGCATGGCTGGTGCTGTTGCCACAGACTGTGCAGGTTAGGATTTCATTTTTATGCCCTACATTAAAAGAAACCTAACCTGATCTAGGGTTCTAACATAAGATAGCCATGTTCTTAACCACTCCGCCTGTAGCTTTTTGAAAACTATGCACTATATAAATCTGCAGCAAATAAAGTGAATAATTTCTGTTACCTGAACACTGCTAGACATGTTGCTGGATGACAGTAAAGTGTATCAAGGTCAGAATGTGAAAGTGTGCGCAGATAAGAGCGCAGATCTTTACAGGTCAGCTTCTTCAACCCATGGGATGCCATCATGGCCAATGTTCTTTAGCTAGTTTCTGAAGAAAACAAGAATCGCAGTTAAATTGGATCAAACCCCAAAATACTCTGTGATGTAGACATGGTTGTTATCTTCTTCTTAGTTATGAGTTAGATTATCTTCACAGCACTACGGACACATCCACAAGCGCTCAGACTCCCCTCTCAACATATTCATCAGCGTCGCGCGGTTAATAGTGCCAGTCCTATATTGGTTAACAAGACTTTGTGTGCATCCAGTGTGCTTCTCATGCTTGGCTTAATGTGTTTACCAGCTGTAAACTGCAGCAGAAAGTTCTGGTGTTTCATCCACTTCTTGACTTAGGTCTTGTTCCAGAACTTGAGTTTTGCATGCAAATCCATTAATAAATTTGGCTTACTTTTATTTGTTCAGCCACTTCTGTCCCATTATGTCTCTGTTCACCTCATTCTTAAACAAGTATTTATGGCTTTTAAGCTTAACTTTTTAGGGCGGTTACCGGTGTTCACCCACCTTCTAGGAAATGGGTACCAGAGTTAACACTCTGGGGGAAGTGGAGGAACGTCGCTGTGCGGATGGCGACACAGGCAGAGTTTCTTATCAGCTGTCTGTACTGGAGGCAGAGCACTTACTTTATGGTTTATATTATAACCGTGTGCAATGAGTCATGACGCTAGTTCAGTCACATCTCACGACTTAACCTTATTATTACTACTTTAAACTTAACTTTCAACTTATACACTTTTTAGATTTTAGAAGGACAATCCCGTCCGTACTGAGCGTACTGACCGTACTGTTATCGAACACTAAACTAAGCAAGTATAAGTGTAAGGTAAATTTCTATGACTATTAGTATTCTATCAGCCTAATGATCAACCAATTGCTTGGCACTTTTCCTTCTTTTTTTTTTATCTTCTATCTAAATTATTCTAAATAAATAAATATTTTAAATTATCTATATCATCAACTATTAACTATGCCTAAGCTAACAACTACACCACTAACTAGTCAGTCGCCTATTGCTCGGCATTTTTCCCTCCGACAGTGGACATTGTAAAAGACATGGAAATCACATAACATCGCGAGTGTAACAAGCAAGAGCCGTTTGCTTTAAGAAACGTCTTCCCTAATCAGAAGTTAGGTCGCCAATTAATCCCAACAAACAAACGCACCTGCCTGGCCGCCCGCCTTCTCTTCTCCAACAGTCATGTCAACAAACTTCTGTGCTTACTTCCTTTACAGTCGCCAGCAGTCAAAAACTTTTCTGCTAAAAATATCCCGATCACATGATAAAATCACGTGATTCGCTGACTTCTGCTGAGCTGGTCAAGCCATCTGGTTGTTGGCTACCGTTAGTTAAATCAGGTTCTTCCCAAAGTTATTTTCACTTTCCAGAAATATTTCTCGATTTATTCGCAATTTTTCTGATTTAAGAAACATTCTCCAAGTTGTCTTTCTTATAAATCTGGTTAGAGAGGTGACTGCAGTCCAGTTCGGTTTTTCAAAGCTCACCTGTGTATATACTAGCTATAAATAACTGTAACTGTAACGCAATAGGAAAATAAATGGCTTCGGGAAAGGTCCGTTAAGTTAATAGTTAGTAAGATTATTCAGTGTTAATTATAATTCTTCTTCTTCTTCTTCTTCTTCACTTCCTCTTTTACCGCTGTGGGTGTCGAGGAAGATATAAGGTTCTGTTTCTAGCTCTTCTGGCTGCCTCGACCATAGGCACATCGTACTGTTGGAGTTTCTGTGATGTTATCCTTCCATATTGTTCTTGGTCTACCCCGTGCTCTACGCCCTTCTTCTCTTCCCATGTACGCTTTGTATGGTATGGTGTCACAAGGCATTCTCTCTAAGTGGGCAAACCATTTCACTTGCTGTCTTTGTATGTAATCCAGAATTGGTTCTGTGCCGACCTGTTCTCTTATGATCTCATTTCTGATCTTATCTCTTATGGTCACTCCTACAGCCCTTCTCAGACATCTCATTTCCGTGGTAACTAATTTTCTTTTATGGTTTGTTGTGAGTGACCATGTGTTAATTATAATTGCTCATTTTTATTTACAGTATCTTGTAGTTCTTGTAATATAAACAACCAATATGCTACTTTCTTCTTCTTCTTCTTCTTCTTCTTCTTCTTCTACTACTACTACTATTGCTGTTGCTGCTGCTGCTTTCGTTCGCTTAAAATTAAATAAATTATTTATATCACTATATTTGTTGATAAGGCCAAGCAACAGCTGTTCATCTGACGATTTGTCATTTTTTAAATCACAAGTTGGCACCCTGAACGTGATGTGGTCAACATTACACCAGCTGCCTTTACTTCTAAGGTCATTTCTGTTTTCAATTGCTGGGTTTCCCTGGCAGTCGAGGTCAGTTATCAAAATCCACCATGATGCAAATTTAAATCCAAGACCTTGCTGTCAGCTGGCAAGCATCTAGACCTGAGCTTTTAATTGCTAGTCCATGGGTCGCATCCAGCTTGCAGAGCCCTAGCAAGTGGCCTGCGGATAATTCTTAATTGTATTAATGATCTTTCTACACTGGTCTCTGATCAGTGGCGATCCCTGTTTTGAACGTTTTGGCTCCTGGGTAAACTGAGTTGAAGAACCCTGATCTAGACATTGCGCTTCTATAACACCTTTCACGTTGTAATTGTTAGACAAGGTTCGAGCATCACTGCAGGCAGGCTGCCCCATAAATGCTCCATTCCTATGCCAGTGAAGATCAAACAAAATCTATTCCACTGTCCCATTTGACAGCTAGTGAAAAACTTGCCATTCCCAGCAAAATCCTGAAGCTTGCACATGCAAAGTAAAAAATGCATAAGACAGCTGTCAGATGTGCCTGTACTAATGGTCCCAAACAAGAATATTGCAGCTCACTGTTGGTGCAGATGGTCAGCCATAAAAATTAGCATTGCATGGCGAAAATACCCACTATCTGCCATTTTAGTGCAGTCAACAACACTTTGCGAGCACAGCAGAAACAATATTCCACATTTAATACACAGCTCCTAGTGTCACACCAAGCACTCAACTAAGTATCTGGACCCCTGAAGTTAAACATAAATATTGAAATGGCCTTAGTTTCATTTCCTGCATAAACCACAATAAAATACATTTTTAAGGCCTACCTACTGCCAGAGAGATCCACATTAAATCCATAGCTCATAGTGTCACACCAAGCACTCAGCTTAGTAGCTGGGCCATGGAAGTTAAACATAAATGTCAAAATGGCCTCAGTTTCATTTTCTGCATAAACCACACTAAAATACATTTTTCAGGCCTACCTACTGCTGGGGAGAACATACCTTAGATGTCCCCATGGAACTGTTCAAGCAAAATCGCAACAGACTTTGTGAGCGGCTGAGAGCAACAGGGAAGGTTCCTGCTGGAGCAATCATTCTGCTGCAGGGTGGAGTTGCTGAGACACGCAATGATTCCGATCATGAACCCCTTTTCCGACAGGTAAGCTTTGATCGAGTAGACTTCTTTTTCTTCTGAATTCGCCCTCAAAAAGCTGGTTGACATGTTATGTTGTGGTTTATAGCTAGGCCATGATCAGGGTTCGTAGCCGACCTTGAAGTTAACATGGAAATTGTGGCTCTTACCTTGAACCTTAATTTTTGCCTTGGAAAAGATATACCGACCTTGAGAAAGCATGTCAGAAGACCTGCGATTTTTGGCAGTTCTGCTATTTTTGGCTAACTTTATTTTAGATGTTTAGGGTTGTTTCTGGTATGAGGGCAGTTGATTATCTGCCATTTTCAGCTTAAAGGGCTTGTTGAGGACTAGGGGTGGTCTGTGTTGCAGCCCATGGATACACATAGACAGCAGGCATGGGGCTGGAGGAAGCAGCCACCGCCTTGTGTGCTGCACTCTGACTTTGAAAGAAGTCCCCAGTTAGTCGACTCTTATGACATGCTAGTTGGGGAGGACAATAAGATATGATCACAAAAGATGTTGAGGTTGGCTTCCACTGTGACACTTAAATGTGAGCCAGTTTTAGAGCTGAGTATTTGAGCAAATGCTCACTAAATACATCCAATGCTTTAATTGTGGTAGACTTTTCTTAATGTCATACTGGCCACCACCATGAGCTGTGAATCTTGTCTCTACTCCTGGGATGTCTAGCAAGCGTCAGGACAGAAAGCAATCTCTGGAACGGACCCTTCTGTTTTATTCATATAAACTATTTTTTAGTGTCTTTAATATTTCTGCAGTCCATATTCTGCATGGTCGACCTCTGGCTCTGTTACTGCTGTATTATTACTGCTCTCTTTGATGCCCTGTCCAATGTTATTTTTCCATCTTGTTCTTGGTCTACCTTGATTTGCTACCACCACCACCACAAGAAACATTGTTGGACATTCTGTGTGATTTTCATTGGGACACGGATGGAGTAACTATGCAGTGACCTGTTTGCTTTGAAGTTGGTAGTGTGGTAACTTGATTCTTCTTCTTCTTCTTCGCGTTCACTGGCTGTTAAGTTCTGGTTGTTTGTCCGCCTCTGGACTTTAGTCTTTTTCCAGGACCTGAGTGTTCCGTGCACATCCGTTTAACAGATCTGACTTAATTGTTGATTCCTTGCCTCTCAGACAGATGCCTGTTCTTGTTTTCCCCACAATGGGGCCCAGGTACATACATGGGGAATTATCTGATTCTGGTATATCCATTTAAGACATAAAAGAGACATGTTTATGCTTGCCGCATCTATCATTAAAAAAAAACATATACAAAAATAATGTGGTATGGATTCTTAACATATAATCTGTATTATTGCTTCAGGAGTCATATTTCCATTGGGCCTTTGGTGTGGAGGAGCCAGACTGTTATGGTGCCATTGAAGTGGACACAGGGAAATCTATTTTGTTTCCTCAAAATTTGCCAGAATCTTACGCTGTGTGGATGGGAAGGTGAGAAAATTCAAACTCAGTTAGGGATAGTCCAGTGGGTAATTCATCATCATGTAGCAGGTCCTTTTCAAAAACGTTGCTTTCATCACGGTC